AGATATTCATGGCTTTATGGCAGGGATATTTATGTAGGGTTTATGGCAGTCTGTGCATTCATAAATATGGGTTGTTCATAATTACTACCTGTAATTATATACATAAATAAACTAAATTAAAACATAAAGCCCTGTATAAGTAAAGTCCCATGGCAAGTGACTATCATGAGAAAAGATGGAAGGGAATTTTAAAAAAAGGAAAACCTAAAAGGAACAATTACAAACTTCACAAAAAGCTCACAGATGATCTGAACACAACAAGGACATTTATAGAAAATGGAAAAAGGGCCAGGGTACAGAGGAGGAATCCAGGCAAGTAGCACAGAATTACAGGGAAGGCTAAAGTTAGGAATGAATTGAGGCTAGTGAAGGATGCTAAAAGCAGCAGCAGCAGCAAATCTCTCCTCAGATATGTCCAAAGTGGAAAGAAATGAGGGGTCCAGTGTAGATGGCAAAATGATAACAGATGGCAAAGAAAATCTAGAAATGCTCAGTTCCAACTTTGACTCAGTATTCTCTCAAAAGAAGGCTTATGACCTTCCTGATGAAGGGGTGGTACAAGCTGAAGGAACAGGATGGCGGCTTGAGATTGATAGGTCAAGGATCATCTAATTGGGTCAAATGAATTTAAATCTCCAGGGTGTGATAAACTCCTAGAGTCATAAAGGGGCTGGTAGAAGAACTCTCAGACACACTGTGTCTTATCTTTGAGAAATCGTGGAGGACAGGGAAAGTGCTAGAAGACTGGAGAAGGGCTAATGTTGTCCCTTCCTTCAAGAAGGGGAAAAGAAAGAACATGGAATTACATCAATCCCTGGGAAAATTCTGGAGCAGATTATAAAGCAGTCAGTTTGCAAACACCTTAAAACTTATGCAGTGATTACTAGAAGCCAGCAGGGATCTGTCGAGAACACACCTTGCCAGACTAACCTGATTCCATTTTTTGATTGCTTAACCTCCCTGATGGACTATGGGAATGCAGTGGACATAATCTATATTGACTCTAGCAAAGCTTTTGACAAAGTACTCCATAAAATCCTGATTAACAAACTAGCAAAATGTGGGCTAGATAAAGTGGGCTAGATGGAACAACTATCAAGTGGATCCACAGTTGGCTATAGAACTGGACTCAAAGAATGCATATCAATGGCACCTGTCCACAAAACACAGAAACCAACTAAAATACTCCTGAAAATAAGGAAAATCACTTCAGTTCCATAAGAGAGATGTGCTTCTTGATGCTAGAGCTGTGACAGTCAAAAATGAACTGAGCAGGAAAGATGGGAACTGCATCCTGTGGGCATACTAGGTGTGAAGAATGGGCACAATTCCCATCAAAATCTCTGTTTTATTATGTTCTGTTTAACACTTAGCCATGGTGCAAAAGTCATGTGTGTGATTAAATATGGTCCATAAAAATAAAATCATAAATATGCTTGCAATATACAGTATGTTTTTGAATTAATGTTTAGGTGTATTAGTTCTGAAAATTCACTGTTAAACATAGCAACAGCAGAATAACACAGTAGCTGAATATTCTGGTCTCTTTACAATCCTCTACCCCACACTCCCAATATACATAATAGCAACTCAGAAGCCTAGGTGCAACACATGCCTGGAATAAGGAACAGCAGCAGCAGCAATCTCTGATTATGCTGGGCATTTTATCTACCATCTACAACCATCTACAGAAAGTACCAGAGAGGGGAAGGAAGGGGGCTGGAATGCTGAAGGTGTTCATCACCAGTCTCCTGGAACCTCTGAGGCCTGGCTGCAATCTGGGGAGTAGCCAGCATATTTCTTCCCATGCCAGCTGAAAGGGTGGTAGTGGAGGAGGCTTAGCCTTTGCAGTTCCAACTTGAAGATTACATGATCTCAGAACTAGGACAACAAATAATCCTATGGCAACCTAGGTGACGTTTGGAGGGTTCAGGTTTGTGCCCATAGTAATTCAATTGGAAATAACAATAAAAGCGCTTGTATGTTGAAGTACTTTCTTTGTGCACAAACTAGCATAAATGCAATTTTATATTTCTTTAGGACTGGTTTACTTACGCTGGAGCATAATTGCATACTAAAATCACAATATTCCTCTTCTTTCCTCTATCTACCAAGCGGCAGTAAACAGCAGCACAGCCAACCTTGTAAGAAGCAGCCCAAACAACCTGTAAAAGAGTAGAATTTATTATATGACATAAAGTACAAGTTAAGATAATTGTTACAATTTCTAAAATTCATTTTCCCCATTTTCTTACTTTTTTCAATATTCTCTAAATTATCAAACTATTTTGTTTTGTTTGTAAAGAAGCAGTCTGACTTAGAGAAGTCTATGTGTAATGCACAGAGACCACAAAGAAGAAACCATGATTATAGAACTACAGTGGTACCTCGGCTCACGAACACCTTAGTTCACGAACAAATCAGGTCACGAACAAAAATTTCATCAAAATTTTGACGTAGGTCGCAAACTCCGCATTGGGTGGTGACCAAGATCGCAGCCATCTCCCCCTCCCACCCAAGGGGAGAGATGGCCACGATCGCAGTTCCGTTTGTGCAGGGAAGGTATGCATGATCAGAGGCACACACCTGCAGGAAAGATGGGCGCAATCTTGGCCATCTCCCCCACGGCTGTACTGTGCTGCGCCTGTCTTTCCTGCAGCAGTGCACCCGTGATCACACACGTCTTCTCTGATAAGTGATCAGAGGCACGCTCCTGCAGGAAAGACAGGCACAATCTCAGCCATTTCCCCCCCCTCCACAACCAGCACGATCGTGGCCATCTCCCCACCCCCGATGGGAAAGATCATGCTGTGCCCGTCTTTCCCATCTCTCCCTCCCACAGCATGCCGTTTGCGCCCATTTCTTCCTCCTCCAGTGCGTCCGCGATCAAGCCCGTCTCTACCCCACCACCCCCCAGCGCGCCAGAATGACGGACGCATGCCTGGATGATGGGCGTCTGCAGGGATGATAGGCACTATCTCAGTCGTGCTGCGGGGGGGGGGGGGCAGGGAGATGGCCGCACTTGTGCATGGGGTGGGAGGGGGGAGATGACCGTGATCTTTGTTGTTGTCACTTTGCTTCACATTTTTCTGATTTAAAAAATGGTTACAGAACTGATTAACCTTATTTACATTGACCTTTATGGGGAAATTTAACTTGGCTCATGACTAATTTGGGTCACGACCCGAGTCCTGGAACAGATTAAGTTCATGAGCCAAGGTACCACTGTACCAAAATTTTGTTTTTTTGCAAAATTTGTAGACTTAACATAAAAAAACTTACCTGAGTATAATGTCCACATACACTAGTACACTTATGGGTACTGAGGTCATAGTATTTTACTTCATTGTAAAATGCAGCAATAGCACCAGTAGGATCAAATGGACGATTGCTGGCAGATCCCATCCACAAATTTTCTCCCATTGGTCTAAATTTACGATCAGGGTGAAGATTACTATATGGATTATGTTTCCAAATGCATTTTCGTCCCCATGCTCTAGCTATTTTAGCTAAACCAATATCAAATGTCTGTAAAGTATAAGAACATCATGTACAACGTTTAATCACAACATTCTGTTATATAACTCTAATGCATACAGCAATATTACATCTTCAGTTACGTCCAAACACATAATACAATTATTTCTCTGGATGCCATTTGTATCACACTTTTAAAGTTACTTTCCAGCTAAAACTCTAGAATTTTCTTGTAAATATTCTGATGGAAACAAAAGGACATAACCATACTGAGAAGATGATTCCTAAAAATAAAATACAATCATGTTTAAAATGTTTTCCCAGGATCTAGACTCTAGAAACATGGAAGTATGGTATTTGCGGAGAACTTGTCCTCCCTAAAATTATCTTGTCTAACAAGCACTAGGAAGTAAAAATGTATTATTAATTTTTTTATTTAAAAGTATAAGTAAAGCAAAAAATACCATGTCCAGGGTAGCATAATCCTATGGCCACTAAAAATGTCCAGATGGTTATAGGACATTTTGGAGTCCCAGGTCCAAGGATGAAAATTGCTCTAACACCACAGTTGGAGATCTGCACTTGAAGCAGAAAAAAACCCAGATTCTCTGAGGTTGCACAAAATGATCTCAGTGAAAGGCTTTTGGGAACATTCTGGAAGAAAGGAAGGAAACCAACTTCATCAAGGTATAGGGTATCCTGCCAGGGTCTTGGTCTCATTCTGGGGAACTAGGAGATCCTGGTTCTAGTCCACATTCAGCTATGAAGCTCACTTGGTGACTTTGGGCCATTCACTCTCAGCTTATCCTACCTCACAAGGCTGTTGTGAGGATAAAATGGAGGAGTATTATGTATGCTTCACAAGAAAAACAGTGGGATATAACTTTAACAACAATAATACTCCAAAATGCTGCCCGTAGACAGTCTAAGTGTTTTACAGACTAGAAGAAAAGTAGAAGCAACCTTCACTTCTGTACTCCTCCCATTCTCTAGGGCAGTGATGGCGAAACTTTTAGACACCCAGTGCCCAAACTGCTACCCAAAACCCCCTAATTTATCGTGAAGTGCCAACACTACAATGAGACCTGAAAAATGAGCTTCAAGTTTAGAAAGAACACATCACTGCCAGTCCAAGCAAATCCTTGGCAAAGCACTGACCGGCCATGCGAAAGCTCAAACAAGTTGTGGCTAATGAGTCGCACCTCATTACATCATTACCTGGCACAGCCACTCCTTTCCAAGCACGCGTATGCCCCCAATGTGCGCTGCTATCCGCTGCTGGGGTGACTTGGATTGCATGCCGAGAGGGCTCTGTGTGCCTGCTGTGAGACGTGTGCCATAGGTTCTCCACTACTGGCCTAACCCTACCCTGGTGCACTCCCCTAACTCTAATATAGGGCTAAAGTTCCATTGAAAAGAGGGATTTTGAAAAAGCCTTCCTTGAGTAGCTGTTTCTGCACAGCTCATCATTTCTCCCCATTCTAAACACATTCCAACCATCAAAATCATGACAGGACACCTCATTTTTGTAACCCTAACCCTGCCCTGGTGCATACCCCTAACCCTAATATAGGGCTAAAGTTCCACTGAAAAGAGGGCAATTTTGAAAAAGCCTTCCTTGAGTAGCTTTCTCTGCACATCTCAACATTTCTGCCCATTTTGTCACAGGCAAATTCATGCAACCATATAAGCTAATTATTGATTAAAACTAACATGAATAATCAACTAAGATTTCATAAATCAGCAGCAGACCTTTGCCAGTTTTTATTCTACAGGGTCTAGTTCAGAAAGACCTATCTATATGGCATACATTTTAAGATATGTATTCAAAATGAAAGATTTTGAAATAAATCCTAGAAATCTAACGTAAAAATTGAGTTTAACATATCTTTACCAGTCAAATACCAGTGTTACTCAACAAGCACCTGCTCCTTTATGAGCTATGTGTTGAAATCATCATTGGTAGCATTGGGGCATCACATGTGAAGCAGATGTTAACCTGAGATACAGACTTTTCTTAAATACTGTTTGAACTTCGGAATAATATCCTCAGAGAAGATTGCCAGGCCCATCTCTCCTCCCCAGTTTAATGGTATTTATATTGCCAATTTTGTGTCACCGTAACTGAAGTTCCAACTGTTTTAGCATCTGATATTCCCCTTCACATTCAATGGGTCGTACATGATTGTAGTGATCTCTATGGTTCCTCCAGGAAAAAAAAACACAGGAAAAAAAGCTATTGTCTTTGGATTACTATTTGTTGCTGCTGTATACATCCACTCATGACTTTGGGACAAAGAACAGACTTTAGGAACTATATTGAAGTTGTAGGAAATCTGCCTTTTCTTGCTTGACATTTACACTATATATCTGAGTAGCCTTGAGATTACAGAGCTCAAAAGAAGTACATTCTATTCACCGCCATTAGTTACAAAGATGAAAAGCTGAAATTGCACCACTGCTTGCTAGGAGGAATATGGGTCCATTTCTAAGCCAAATAAGCAGCAGCTTAAGGAAGATTTCTTCCTTTCTCCCTACCAGAACGCTGTAGGCCTTTCTTCTGTTTGAACTTATCTAGAATTGCACTTTTGTTTATTATAGTTGTATTTTCTTAACGCCAGGGTTGAAGAGAGGCATTTGTGCAACATTTGTCAGATTCTAAAATTTATCTGGGTTAAGTTAATAATGTACCTTTACCAAGGGACAGGTGGCATTTGTTACTTTGCCTCAGCAAAGTAGATTCTATATGCCTCAGGGCAAGCACCCAAGACATTTTTCTCTAGAAGCAGAGTGACAAATAGCACCTGCCTAAAAATAAAGCTATATTAATAACTGAAACCTGATCAAGTCTAGAATCAGATCAAGTTTAACACCACAAATTGCACACATGCTTCTCCCCACCTGGGGGTTTAGAAAACAAACTAATAAACTAAGGTGCACCCTTATACAGAATCCTATACAATTTATACAGAAATATGTCCTGCAACTCTCAGCACTCTTTAAGCCGGCTGACTGGGGAATGCTGGGAGTTATGGGACTTTTTTTCCATCTAAACACGCATAGGTTTGAGCCCTAAATAACTAAAGAAGCGTGGCCCTTTCATGAAGCCCAAAAGCAAATGCTTGTAACAACCACATTATTCTACTTAATTTGCTTTTTTTTTTTTTAAGGTAGGAGGATACGTGATTTACGCGCACCACCTTGCCCGTGATGGAAAGGTGGAACACATTAGAAGCGTCGCCTTTAAACATTCAATCGATGCGGCGAGTTTCCCCTTCCCGCCACGCAGGCCGCCCCCATCCCCGCTGCCTTCCGCCGTCAGTCCCTCACCGGGACACACCATATGCAGCATGTTGGAAGCGGGGGGGTTGACTCCGCTGCGGAATTTGTTGTGAGCGTCGACATACTGTTTGATAAAGTTTCTGTCGGTGATGGAGGGATATCGGTAGCCGCTCACGCCCCCCACGAGGGCGACTAAAACCAACGCAAACAGCGGGCAAGGCCCCCTCATGGCAGCAGCGCCCTCAGAGCGGACCGTGAGGCTGCGCGCGCACCCACCTGCGCGCCCGGCCGCAACGGCCACCGCGTGAGCGCGGAACGTTCTGGAACCCACGGCTGCGCCCTACGCTGGGGCCTGTGGCCTCTGCTACGGCGATTTGGCGACCTGTCTGGCTTGCGCAGATCCCACCGCAGAGGCATACGATGGCAGCGCTGCTTGTTGCTGTGTGCCAAAGGCTTGGGCTGCGATCCTAGACCGATTTACCTGGTAGTCAACCTGACTGAACTCAGCGCGACATGTTTGTGAGCAGAAATGGGTAGCCTTTGGCTATCACTCCATTTTTAATTCTGGAAACGCTTAGGCTGCAATCTCACCTATGTTCGAAAGGATTATCTCAGTGGGGCTTTCTTGCAGATAAATGGATACAGGATGAAACTGATTAAGGCTCGTTCTTATTTCCCTAACGTCCCGTCTACTGAGGCCACGCCCAGTATTTTTAAGATGAGTCCGAACCAGGGACAAAGTACAAAGGAATGTAGCCTCCTTTAAGATACGCTTTAGGGTCCTTCGTAGTCGAAAAAGGTGAGACTTTTCCTAGAATCTGTCCAGTGTGCGGTATTATAAGTTGCATCTATATGTCAAGTTTAAGCCGATATTGTTTAGACGCTAATGTAAGGGTACACTGGAATCACCTGGGCCAAAATTCCGCAACCCAACATCAGATGCACAATTTAGCGTCAGATCTTAATCCTTTTATGTTTAGAAAGGAAGAAGTACAACTCCTCCCAGCATACCTCCAGCTGGGATATGCTAGGAATTGTAGCAAACATTCTCCTGCCTTGGCGCTGAATTCACTTTCGTGTAATGGCTATATTACCGAGATAGCGGTTTTGCTGGCTGCTTTCCTTCTAGAGTATACAGACAGGATTGCATATCCCTTTAAAACTCGTTTGGTCATATCTTTGATGAATTTGCAATCAGGATATGAAAAAGGTATATTCTTGGCTGTGTTTTGGAAAAAGGCACTGCGCCTCTCATTGCTGAACCATCTACAGTCCGTTGCAGCGGGTCTGAATACGAAAGTTACAATCTTACATCCACTTACTTAGGAGTGCACCCTAATGAAAACAATAAGATCTGAATAGGGTTGTAGTATAAACCTGGCTAGTTTGGCCAAAAAGGAACGAAAGCAGCCTGGAAAGGAGCGATTTTGTATTTGGGGTCTGGGATCAAAGTGTGCAGAGAGGTCTCCAGCCTCGGGATAAACGACCTCTAGCCCCCTGGCAGAGAGAGAAAGCGGAAGGTGAGGATCCGGAGGACTTTACCCACAAGTCTATGGTTTGCTTGGCTGGCGATCTACTTCCTTGCCGACGCAGCGACTTCCTCTCAAGCATCCGCAGATCGGCGAAAGCACACTGACGGAGTAAGGGTGTTGCTTGTTTTGCTGTTGCCGCCAGCGTCTTCATAAGATTTGTTGCTCGCCGCCATGGTGCTGTCCTCGGTGCATCAGGCTCTGGTCTCCGTCGTGCTGGTGCTTTGCATTTTCGTGGTGATGCCCAGGATGTTCGGCGGAGGCGGGAGAGCCCCGCGGACTGGCAAGTCCTCACCTGGCCGTCGTGATCCCCATCAGCTCCGCCATGGTATCGTGCCCGTCACCTTCTTCCAGCCCATCCCTGCACTCCAGTACAGAGGGAGCCAGGAAGCCCCCTAGGCTAGTTGACGAACTGTCTTTCCTTAAGAGGTGTCTCTGTGCTAGTAACCTCCTTTTGTTTTGTTTTGTTCCTCCTAAAGAAAGTATTAAATTCTGTTTTTAATGTAGGCCTAAATTCAAAGCTCCAGGTGGAGTTAGATGATGGTAGTCTTACAAAGTCTTCAGATGTCTTCCTTATCACAGATGCATTAGGACCAGTCTGTTAACTGCATTGGCATCAAGTGGAAAGATAGCTTTTCCCTTATTTAATCTAAAGCAATTCTTCAACGTTTTTAGAATTCAGCAGTATTTTGAGATCTAATGTCAAGGCAGGCAGTTTAAATGAAGGCCAAGAACTAGAGTTCTTAGATAGGCAAAATGAAAAATAATGTTCTTTATGTCAAATTATTTCTCCTATTAGGATAGTTACTGTAGCCTTTCTGATATGGACTGCACATTTTGTTGTTAATTTCAATGTAGTAATGGGTATTTTTGGTCTCATTGAATGTGCTGGAAAATGAATACACTTGTGTATATACATGTAAAAGGCTTTTTTATGAGCTGTTAAAGAGTATACACTTTCTGTAATATCTCAAAATAGATCTTCACCGGGGTCATGTTGATTTGCATGAGAATATCCCAGAGCTGTCTGCTTTGAGACTGAAGATAGTCCTGTTTGCTAGTTAGAGTGGCCCAGCAGAGTAATTTTCACATGATATACTCACTGATTGAGTATAGCCCATAACATCCCTGAGAATGAGAAACACTGTTTTTTTTTTCCATCTCATTCCGGGGTCCAAGGTGACCACATACCAGAGAGCCTAGTATGGGAAAAAAAAACCCTTATTTTTCCTCGACATCAGCCAATCTGAGACTTTGCATGGATAATGTAGTTAGAGTTGTTGCCATGGTGAAACTGATTTCTCAATAGTCCAGTATGATTCTTTTGTTGCAGATTAAAATTCCTCATTTTGTGCACTGGAAATACATTTCTTCTTCTGTTTCAAGACAAACCTTGCTGTTCTTTTTCTAGTAATATCTGTCTTGCCCTTCATTGTTTAGCAGTAACTGTCTTGCCCTATTGTCTTTCACCTGGACTCCAAGACTGTGCTGTAAAAGCTAAAATACTGTAGGTATATTTGTTAATCTGTGTGAAGGATTCAAGCAAATCCATACAGTTTGACCCAACACATCACCCAAGCAATTTAGAGTCAGTTCTTCACTGATTGTAATTGACTGGCCCTAAAAACTTAAAACACTTGTCCTGTAGGTGGACCTGAAGGAGTTACGTCACCACAGATGAATTCAGAAACTTCTGGAAGCAAAGCAACATATCAAAGCATCCAGCAAATGAGGAATGCAATGGAGAAGGAATTGAAGGCTGAGCGGACTAGAGGGAATGGCAAAGACTTTGCTTTAACACTGATGCCCTTGTATGCTGTTGGTGTAGGAGTGTTTGCGTTATACAAATTCTTAAAGGTAAATATTAATAAGGCAGAGTCCTAGTGGTCCATATACATGGTGCAGACCTGTATAAATGTAGCTTATATTTTCAAATTTGCATTATTAAGTAGAAATGTTAATTTTCCTTCCCTTAATTATTTAAAAATATAAATGATTTAAAACCAGGTTTCAATAAATCTTTCTTTTTTACAAATTTAAAGTGTGTTAGGGCTTTGCCATGTAGTGCTATAATCATCTATACTAGCTTTCCCCAGGCCAGGAATTTAGGGAACTGTAGTGTCAATTATTTGGAACACACAAGGTTGAGGAAGGCTAAGGTCCGCCTGGCACCGTCGTTATTTGTTTTTCGGTGCCAGGTGAAGACCTTTTTATTTAAACATCATTTTAATTGTTAACAATATTTACTTATTTATCTGGCCAGGGCGACTTCTTTTCTTTTATAACTTCTTTTATATCTTTTATATATTTTTACTTATTTTATATTGTTAATTTTTAATTTTATATTGTTATTTTTGTATTTTACTGTATTTTATTGTGTTGTAAGCCGCCCCGAGGCTTCGGCAAGGGGCGGCATAGAAATGTTCTAATAAATAAATAAATTAGACTCACTTCAAGACTGAACTGGGAGAAGACAACAGCCTATTTTACATGAAATCCTAAACTTATAGCTTGTGCTCTTCCCTCCCCCACTCTTCTGGCACAGCCACAAGATCAGAAGCTTCTATTTTAGATTAACCATAGTTTAGGGTTTGCAAATGAAGTTAACTTTTTTTTAATTACCTGAAACAAACCACCTTCATAAATCACAGTTTGTGTTTGAATGATACAGCAAGCTGCAGTTAATTTTATGGAAGTGAAAACTTTCAGACTTCTTGCATCTAAACAGGATGGGAAGAGAGAGTGCATGAGCCAGAGACTAAAGTGGGGTGTCATGATATGTCTTAACTAGGGTTAAGAATCTCTTCCTTTAAGCATTTGTGAGCTTTCTCTTGTGCTCAGCCAGGTCTTCCAAGTGAGCCTAGCTGAGAGGAAGTCTGCAAATGCTTGTGGAACCCCCACTGTGCAACTGGCAATCTTCTGCAAAAGAGGGGCACTGTTTGTGCAGCCATCATGGGCAGGTCTGTTTTCCTGGCAAGACCCTCACAAGAAGTTCTTTCTTTGACACCAGTTGCCACTGCACACATAGTGGATGTTCCTGAGGCAGGAGAGAGGTGCTGCTAAAGGAGGCTGTTTTCCTGGCATGCCCCTCAAAAGTATATATTTATTAAAAGTTTTTTATTCTGTCTTCTCACAGAAGTCTCAGGATGGTAGTACAGTAAGGAGCACAGCATCACATCCTCAAATAAAATCTGATTAAAATAACAAATCTTAAAATGTTGGGAAAATAAAAAAGTTTTGACCTGGCATCAAAAGAAATAAAGTGTCAGCACCAGGCGCGCCTCTCTGGGGAGCATGTTCCATAGCCACTCTCCTGATCTTCAAAGAGGGCTCCTGAAGGGCATCCATCCCAGATCTTAGGGGTTGGCAGGCATTTAACGAAGGAGACGCTCCTTCAGATACATAGGTCTTCAACCATTGAGGGCTTTTTAAAGAGTAGACCTTCAAAGCCAGTTGTAGCTGCCAGCACAGCAGCTGTTCTTGGAGCTGGAGAGAAGTGCTGCATGTGGGGCTTGATTCCTGGTGAGCGCCCTGTGGATGCTGGATGTGCTTGCTGGTGATGGGAGAAGCCAGGCCCAGGAACTCAGAAAGATTCCCCCTCCTGTATAGATTTCTAACACATCCCTAGTGTGAACCATCCCACTATTTCCCCTTCATTTCCCTAGTAAGAATTCAAAATATTATGAACAGTGTGCAGCAGCAGGACTATCACAAATAATCTTTTGACTCTTTAAAACAAGAGTGCACAACTTGTGGCCTTCCAGAGGTTGACCTGTAGCTTTCATTACTGTTCCCCATTGGATAGGCTTCCTAGGCCTAATGGAAGTTATACTCCACAGCCTCTGGGGAACCCACCTATACCTAAAAGAAATAAACAGATATGAGATACATGTCTCAGTATTGTTGTTTTTTCAGGAGAAGCATTTCAGAAAAAAATAAGCTGAAAAAAACGGACAAAGAAGGTTTTTTGGCAACACTGCACTGTGGTTTGGCAGACTGGGTTCCCTGTAGCAGAAGTTTTCCTTGGAGAAAAGCATTTCAACTTTTTATGGCAGGGGTATTGAAACATTCCTTTGCTCAAAAAATAATAGTATATATAATGCTGAGACTGCAGTTCTAAGTGCATTGGAAGAAATATCCTATGTAGTTTCTTGAAGGTTACTTCCTGGTAATTATACTTAGGGTTAAACGGAAGAAATCAGTGATTTTAAGTAAATGTGGTTAATGGTGTAAAACAATACCAAATGTTGCTCTGTTAGGAAGGCTTTCTGTGATTACTGGATTTTTATATAATTTTATATCATTCTTCATGCTGCATAATTTGTATATACAGTTCAGATGGCAAGTGGTAGTGGTAATGTGCATAGGGAATTGCATCCCAAATCAGAAGCAAATTTTACTGCAGTTAGCAAGAGTAAGTAAGTAATAATTAGGTGTAAGTTAAACCATGATGGCATCGTTTTACTGGAGAGAACATGATAGCCTGGTTCAGCTGTATAATCTAGACTGATGCCAGCTTAGTTATGGTGAGGTTAGTAAGACCAAGTCAATTGAAATCTGATTCAAACAGATGGATGGAGATATGGGCTTTATGTGGATTACAGTATATTTTATAGAAAAAGTATTGTTACCTGCCTCACATCTTCAGGGGCTGAACCATTGTACTGCAATTTAAACAAATAGTGAAAGTGGGAGTAACTCTGTTGATGTTTAGGTATTTTTAATTACTTTTTTGTAGATGAAATCTCAAGAGGAAAGTTTATCCAGGAAAGAGAAAAATACTGAAAACAAGACAAATGCAACAGGTAGTAACTGATTCAAAGCTATTTCACCTGTCATTTTTATAATATAGTTTGCACATGAGAGCATCTTAGGGTCAGTTGGTTCTGCTCAGCTGCAGTGGGAGCAAATGAGTGATGAGAAGTAGCATGCTTGCTTCTGGTTTAGTGAGTTCTTCTGGAAAAGAAAAGAATATACAAAGTTCACTTCTGTACACACTAAGACAACTAATTTTCTCATTAGCAATGCTGATTCTTTTTTAAAGTATTTGTTCTCACTTGTAGAACACCAGCTTCTGGAGTTGGAGCAACACCTAGCACAGACAGAGAAAATGTTAAATTCTTTATTAACACAGTTAGATCCACTTTCAAGCTGGTGAGTAAGCTAAGATAAACCATAGAATTTGACTTAAATAGTATCTCAGCTGCCTTAAGACTTAGGGTGCAATCCAGTGGCCTCCTGACATTGTCTCGTGGCCTTGATAGGTTGGAGAGCCAGCTCTGACACTGGGAAAACACTCTTGAAGTTGGAGCTGAAACTCCACGCTCACAGTCTGTGCAAATATTTATGTGTTAGATGGACTCAGAAGATGGAAGTTGGGGATGTGGGGAAACTTTCCAGGTGGCAGGGAGACATGTCACAAATGTCCTCTGAAGAATCCCAACAGTGCTTCAGCCTTTCCTTTCTTACAAGAAGAAAAAAAATGTAGATGGCTGAAATTTTCTCTTTAAATGCTTTGGAAGGTACAGGGAACATGGAGGCATCCCACCTCCCATTGGATGCCTGTAATCCTCAGAGTTAGGATGGTAACAGGCACCCACAATGGGTGATGTCCTTAGAAGTTTAATGTTTACTTGTATGAACCAAAATTTTACAAGATATTTATTAGATAAATAATAAATAAATTACTCTTTCATATTTTCTGCAGGTAGAACTGAAATTTAATGGGAACGGTTTTTACTCCTTTCATATTCTCCTTTTGGATCCAAAATAGCCTACTGATAATAGAACTCCTACAGGAATAAAAGAAAAAAACCAATTTCATTTCATTAACTCTTTTGCATCCAAGTTTTTCAAGCATTTGGGATAGTTCTAGCTCTGGGATTCTCTTTACTTTTGGAAAATTACAACAGTATCCTTTTAACAATCCAGTTAAAAGTTTGTAAAACAAACGAGAGAGTAAAGGTTGGTAAAGGTAAAGGTGGTTCCAGAGCCTTAAAAATGTTGACATAAGGATGGATCATTGTGAGGTTTTATATATTGGAGGTTGTCTGGATGTTGTTTTATAATAGGTCTTAAATGGGAGTACACTCCCCCTGAAAGATCAAATGCATAGCCTGTGAGTCTTCCTGTACTCTGTGCTAACTGGGCAAGGTCAGGTAGCTGCAGCATCCCAGAGTACGTTTTAGCAACTTAAGCTGGTATGTTAGCTACAGCTCTGTTTGGAAAGGACAGAACTTGTCTGTTATCCACATGCTAATGACTTTCAAGCAGGACTGTTGTGTTCTGTATAGTGGGTTGGCTCTGAAGACACTTCAGCTGCTACAGAATGCTGCAATTCGAGTATTGGTGGGTGTGCAATGGACCATATAATCTAGACTTTGCTAGTTACCATTGCATTTCCAAACTCAATTTAATATGCTGGCTTTGCCTTTTAAAGCTCTAAATAGTTCGGACCAAATTACTTGTAGCCTTCACCTTTATCAGCTTGCCTGCATTTTAAGATCAGCAACACTTGCTCACTTTTGAGGAAAGTTAAATGAGCATGTATGCACAAGAGACCCCCCCCCCTTTTTAACAATGGCACAACACCTCTGGAAACCATAGCATGTGACATCTGTCAGGAGCCATCATTTAAGTCTTTTAGGAAAACCCTGAAGACTTACTTGTCTTCTCTGGCCTTCTGACTATATTGCTGGACTGTTCTGTTGTATTTTTGGTTTTTACCTTGTTTAAGAAAACTATGGTGAAGACTACTCATTGTTTGTCTGGGTTCAGAAATAATTCTAAACTGCAATTAGTTTAAAAATGGAAGCAAAAGCTTCTGATCTTCTACTTGTTGTTGTACTCGAGAAGGACGGAGAGCACATGAGTTCAAACAGGAATGTTTTGCTGCATTCATTTACAATGCTTATGAGTGAATGATTGCATACTAATTTGGTAACAATAACAAGACATCCCACTACCTTCTTTTAAGGGTTAGAATCATTTTGGTGCGATTGTAACATTGTTCTCTAGCATACCCTGTTTCACTCTCAAGCATCATTTTGGTTTTACAGCATTAATGCTCTGGCTTCTGAACAGAAGGATGAAATCATGGTGCAGCTTGAATCTATCAGGAAACTGATGAAAGAAAGTGGATTGGACAAATCAGCAATGAAAACACAAGGTACTAACATACCTGGTATTTTAAAACTTAGTATTGCAAAACTCCTGCTCAGAACTCCATTTCTAAGATGGGTGATCTGGCTTCAACAGATTTGTATGACATCTTGACATTTCACTAGTTTGAGTGTAGTATCTGTATCTTAAGCATTTATACAATGGCACAGCAGGACTTATTAGGAAATGAACTTTCTCACTCCTTATGTAGTGACTCTCATTTGTTAGATGATGATATCCTATATGCTCCTGCCTTTATGCAGATGATTTGGTTTGCTTTGTTTAAACAAACAAGTAGGCATACTTCTTTCTGACACTTCTCTTGCTGGCTGAAATTCTTCATATATGATCTATATACATGTTTTCTGCTTCAAAACAAAAGGAAAGTGGTTTATGATACAAAAGACAAGTCAAAGAACCAATTATCTAATTGCTAAAAGCATTATGTTCTGCCATATATAACAAAAATCCTATTACAGTTTTCTTACAGCAACTCTGTTTTAAATACTGTAAAGACATTGGATCTAATTGTAACTCTTTTCTATTTTGTAAATTAAGATACTAGCCATACATGCCAAGAAAAGCTTGAAGACCTTATTCAGTCATTCAGTGAACATCCTGAGGCAGAGATGTATGAGGTGGGTGATGAAAAATGTGGGCGTGAAGTGCTATTTGACAATATTGTGGAACACTCTGGTGACCAGGAGCATAAGCACTGTGGTCATGAGTTCTTACTTAGTCCAATGGAAGAGCTGAAGAAGATGGAAATTGCTGGTGTAACTAATCAAGATGCAGCGAAACCAGATACTGGATTAAGAAGACGTATTAAAAATGAATGATATAAATTAGCAAATTATGATGAATGATTGCACATCTTATATGCACTTTTAAATTATTCTGAAACAGGTTCATATTTACTGTAGTATGCTTTAAAATCAAAATGTTTATGAAATGTTTCTATTCTGTATAAACGTATATACACTTAGAGTCCTATGTGATATTTCACTACAGTATTAAGATTTATGATATTTTTGCAACTATTAAAGTTGAGGAATGGCAACAGAATATTTTGCAAGTATATTTGTTTTATGGCAAACATGCAGCTTTTTTTGTGATGTATATTCCTGCAGAAATAGCACAAAAACTGTTCCAAATCACGTTTTATCTGTAGCTTTGGGTATTGATTCTTATTGTAATTCCAGTGCAGTTCTTGTATGTCCTGTTTTCTTGCTTTATTCTGAAAAAGAGCAAGAATGCAGGTCAGCTTATATGGCTCATGTGGAGAAAATTATTTCAAATTTTATTGAATTTCAATAACCATATCAGGGTTTTATAGGACAATAGAAATTTGAAAAGTCTAGCCTGACAGTGTGAGAAGATAGTGAAATGGAATACTAATTTAGTAATTTTTGGAATGTTATATAACATAGGTTAGGATAAAATGAACTGACAGTTTTGATCTTTTATTTTGAAATTTGTGGAAAAGGATAAAATTGTTCATATTATTTTTGACTTAGGCATTGAGGTTCCTATGAAGACAGAAACATAAGAAAAACTATTTTGGGGCTACAGTCTAATCAAATAGACCAATAAACTGGAATTTATAATTTATCAATTAAATTTGCATATAGTAAAACTGTGTTTCTGAAGAAACATATTTTCGTTTTTTACTATACTGCCATGTCATGGCAGGCACCATTTTTTTTTTTATTTGAGAAAAGTGAACAGTTCTTTTGCGATGTTGCTTGCCTTGTCATCTGCAGTTTTTGATAAGTGCTTGTATTAAAAAAATGCTGACCTTTTTGTTGCTCAGAAATGTTTTTAATGTATTCATCTGATTAATCTACCAAATCCACAAATTGGAACCCAAGTGTTTAGGAAGCTCTTCTTAGAAGAATTGGCAGCTTTTCAACCAACCTTTTAAAGTGTGCTCTTGACAGCAGATGTGGTGATACTATCAGATGATATTTCTGTAGTGTGCATTAGGGATGTATGGATTTTGTTAAATCTATTCCATCTGTGTTTTGTGGATTGTCAGGTGTCTTTTATTCGAGCATCTGCTCCTGGAATCAGATTTTTTCAGGGATGAATGAGAATTATGTTCTGCTAGCACAAGTGTACATTGGTACTAATGCAAATTTGTGCAAGTCCTCTCCAAAAGTATAAAGGTGGTCTGCATGACTCAGGAAAAGGCTGGTCTGTTGTGGAATCTGCAGGCTGAAGTCACAGAAATGTGAACTTGTTACACATTTCTTGGGCATTCCTAGAATGTCTATCCTCCCTTGTTAATTTCAGCACATCAGGCTACTCTTACAAGCACAAGAAGGCAATTTTTTCCCTAATCAAAGTGCCACTAAAGTTAAGAGAAAAATTGTATTTTAAATTGTATTTTGTTTGCCATTCAGTTGAGTTTTGATGAGTGAAGGTGTGGCTGCAGCAGGACTGCAAACAAATGAATAGAGTGGAATTTGTGTGAACTTTGAAGAGGGGTGGATCAGGGAATCGATCAATCATTAAACATTACTGTTGACTTGTGATCCAAGGCTTACAACACTTCCAACTTAGGAGACCAATGTGTAACAAGATTCTCGTGTATAAAATACACATATAGCAAGAACTGGCTTTACAACCCAAAAAGGTAGCGCTGAATCCTTAAATGGGTAGGTGGTGGTCAGCTTAAGACAAAAAGCATTAAGATAGCCTATAATTTAATTGATTAATGGCAACAATCTCCTGTTTGTCCTTTACCACAGTGGGGGAGAAGTTGCAACAGGGTAGCAATAGCTTTTTGATTGTATCCAATACTAGTTCTGCTTAAAGCAGTCCCATGGAAAAGGATTTAAGTTAGATACTCCACATAAATATTGAAGCAGTAGCATCCTTTCTCCTTTATTATGATTTAAGATGCCTGGGAGAGTCTAAGGCATCTTTCTCCAACCTGATGCTCTCCAGATATGTTGAACGACCATCAATTGTTGTAAGCTGCTCAGAGAGCTCAGGTATGAGCTATTGTAGCAGCATACAAATTGAAATAATAAATAAATCACTACCCAGATTTGGGGATGGTGGGATGATTGCAAGCATGAATGCAGTGCCTCCGGTTTTATGTTCCTTAGGGCAAGTTGCATTGGAAAGGCTCTTGCACATTTTTTCCTGATTCCTTTCAAGTCCATAACTCTCCTCGCTAAAACCTCGGCACTCTCATGAGGAGAGGATCTCGGTGGAGGACACGTGCACTGTAGGTCGCAGCTCCCCTGCACCCCGGAATTAAATAAAAAAAGACCAAACCCGCCAGGAAGAGCGAATAGTTGGCCTTGCGGAGCGTCGGTCGAGGTCCCTCGCTGACGCAGCGCACAGGCCGACCTGGCGGGAGGAAATGCCGCGGCACCCTCGGAAGAAGTGGCGCTTTCCTTTCGCCCCTCGCAACGCAGCACGGCGGTGCCGCGCGCGGGAGGGGGAGGAGCGTTGCGGCGCGTTGCCTCGGTAACCGCGGGAGCGCGCTCGCACCGGCGCTGCTGGAGGAGCTGCTCGCCTCATCCGAGAGAGGACGTTAGGCGGGGACATTCATCCCGTCCTCCCCCTTGCACTCAGGAGTTGCAACGGTTGGCACTGCTGCGAGTGTTGCTATGATAATTTATGAAACCAAACCGGGAGAGGGCGGGGGGGGGAGGCAAAAGGGGGAGAGCGGGTGATAAAGGTGTTAGTCCTGCTTAGAGTAGACCCATTGGCATGCAAGAGGCGGACGCTAGCTCAGTGCCAGATGCAGTCCGTGGGACTCGGCCTCAGTATCTCCCAGCACGCGCACACGACTTTTTCCTCTTAACAGGTCCGCGAGTAGGGGACGCCCGCGGACGTGTGAAAGCTGCAGGTGTGTATACGGGGCCGCCAAGGCACAGTCAGTTGGCGGTGGGTTCGCAGCCCAGCAGGCTACCACCATCGATCGGCTCGCTGTGAAAAAGGCCCCGGTAACACCAACGGGACTTCCGCGTAGGAAGGCAGTAGGGCTACAGCAACGCTGCGAATCCTCACCGTTTATTTTAGGGCGCCATCGCATGGCATGTTTTAGACTGAAAAAAGGGTGGCTGGAGAATGCAGGCAGTTTCTGTCCACACCTTGCAACATTCCGTACTCATTTCCAATGGAGAAGTTTTTTTAAAGGCTCCCAGGGTGACTGACAAAGACCAGTAACAAGACAGTTCCTGCTGTCGGGCGTACCTTAGTTAGTGGAGACGTATGCTGTGGTTGTTTACTGACAGTGAGGCCTAAAATGCCCAACTGTATATGCTCCGTATCTTGTACCTTGGAGTACACATGTTTGGGATGGTGGCAGCCACAGACAATTCATTTTCAGTAACCCACACTAAAAACCAACTCATTTTTCTTTGAGTTGCAGCAGTCTGTTTAATATATTTACTACCTGCTCCATTGTGCAAGTTCATGTGGGATTATAATTGCATCACCAGAAAGAGTAAATGAATCACTCTTCCTAAGGGATTTAGGTTTGTATTAGTGTTGGCTCTACTTATAGTAGATGCAATAACATTGGATACAGTTCATTCTTTACAAGCCATCATGTAAGTTAAAAAAAATACAAATCTTGTGAAATAGTGCTGAGCAAAACACACCCCCACACACAAAGTAATAATAAATATAAAAGTAGAATTTTGTAGGTATAGAGCTAAGATTTATTTTTTAAAATCCGCAACAAAATTTCACTGAAGAGAATGAATGTAGTTGCACAGTTATGTTTCATGTGCCAGCTGAATATTGTCCTCTGTTGGTCTGATTTGGCAACAGTTATCCATCCCTTGGTTACATCATGCATAAATTACTGCAGCATATGCAGTATGAAGTTACTCTTGAAGAAAGTCCAGAAATTTCACATGGCAAAAAACATTAATTAGTATACAGTGTGCTACACCAACACTGAAATACTTTCATTGGTTGTCAACTGTATTGGGCGCAATGCTTTTAACCTTTAAAGTTATTGCTTTTAACTTTTAAAGTCCTTAATGGCTTCGAGTCTGTTCTCTGAAAAATTGCCTGTATTATTACGATTCTGTTTGATCATTGAGTTCTGGAGGAAGGGCACTCCTGAAGACACCACTGGCTGCAGAACCCCTTGGTGGGCACTTTACAGATTCTGGAAAGCACTTCTTTCAGAATTATTTGACTCCACTGTCTTGGCTTTCAGAAAAGCTGTTCAGACACAGTTGTAACTTAGCTTTTTCTAATAGCTATGTGCTACTTTAATGTTCTATGTTAATATTTTTAATGACTCAATCCCCTTCTTGTATGCACACCTTAATGTGGTAAGGGGACTTAAGAGTGTCAGAGAAGGCAAGCACAATGTAATCAGGAGGTCACACTCTCAGTAGGATGATCTCTTAGCAGGGACACCCAGGGTGGCATGGTCAAAGCTGGGGCGCTATGCTGAGAGGCATTTACCCTCTTCAAGGATAATGGTCACATCAGCAGAAGAGAATTATTATTATTTACATTTCTATTCCGCCCCTAGCCAAAGCTCTCTGGGCAGTTCACAACGTTAAGTCACCCATCCAGATTTCAACCAGGCCTGACCATGCTTAGCTTCCTAGATTAGGCAGGGTCAGGCACTTCAGGGTAGAATGGACATCTCTGATGGTGATGGGGGCAGAGAAACTCCTGAAAGGCAGATATTGGCCAGCTGCAAAACAAAACAATGCCCCCTTCACTGGAAACTTCAAAATACGTTCCAGTCCCCAAGAAAGGAGATGCAAAAGAGTGCATATAGGCCATTACACTAATTTCCCATGCAAGCAAAGTGATACTCAAGGTGTTGCAACAAGGAATTCTACTTATGTGGAACAAGAAAGGTCTGACATTAAAGTTGGATTCTGAAAAGGAAGATATTCTCAAGATCATATTACAAACTTATGTTGGCTGCTGGAGTGTACCAAAGAATATCAAAAGAAGATTATGCTTTATAGACTACAGCAAAGCCTTTGTGTAGATTTCAAGAAGTGGTGGATTGTCCTAAAAGTGTGCCTCAACACTGATGCATAACTTGTCTCATGAACAAGAAGTTATTGTTAGGATGCAGAAACAGTGGTTTTCTATATGCAAAGGCACCAGATGGGTATATTTTAGCTCTCTTTTTGTTCCGTTTGTACACAGACCATATCATAAAGAAAACTGGATTAGGAAGGAGTGAAAGTTGGTGGAGGACAGCTCAGTAATTTATGATATACAGACGACACCATCTTACTAGCAAAAACCAGCAATGAATAGAAATGAATCCTAATGAAAGTGAAAGAAGAAAGTACAAAAGAAGGACTGCAGCTAAATATTAAGATGGCAAAAATTGTACCAATAGAAGAATTACAGAACTTTACTGTCAACAATGAAGAATTTGAAACTATGAAACATTTTGCATAGTTTAACACAGTCATTAATTCAAATGGAGGCTGTAGCCAAGATATTAGAAAAATATTGAGCCTTCGAAGGACAGCAATGAACTCCAAAAGGTAATCAAGTGTAAGTATCTTTCATTGGAGACAAAGATCAAGATCATTTGCACTATTGTATTTCCAATCACTATGCTTGTGAAAGCTACCCAGTGAAGAAAACTGACAGGAAGAAAAATGCATTTCAAACATGGTGCTAGAGAAGGTTTGCTTTGCAAACATCCTGGGCCAACTGAAACATAAGCAAGTGGGTTCTAGATCAAATCAAGCCAGAACATTCCCTAGAAGCAAAATGACAAACTGAAGCTGTCATACTTGTGCCACATCATGAGAAGGCAAGACTCAATGGAGAAGACAATCATGTTAAAGAAAGTTGAACGCTGAAGAAGAGGAAGCCCAAATATGAGGTGGATTGATTCCATAAAGAAAGCTACAGCCTTGAGTTTATAAGAGATGAGCAGAAATGTGAAGGACAGGACATTTTGGAAGGCATTGATTCAGTGGATTGCCATAAGTTGGAGATGGCTTGATGGCACATAACACTTCAATTAAATGATTTTCTTATTTTGCTTTGTTTTAAATGTTTATATACTACCTTAGTGAGTGAAAGTGGGTGATATGTAAGTGCTGATAATACATAGTACATGATACATAATAAATACTTATAATGTAATTTGCACACAAATATTTAACAAAGGGGAAATAGAACCAGTGTTACAGCCTCTGGAACAAACATAATTTACTGTTTGGCTATGGAAACAGCATTGTGCAAAGATGTTTCAGATAAACTCAGCACATTCCCATCCTTCTCTGTATTTTATCTTCCCTCTGAAAAGATGAGAGTTTCAAAAAAGATGAGAGTTTCAAAAACTCAACTTATGCATCTTTCTGCCTGTGTAGTGATGCTATGGCTTTCTTTAGCTTTTCCTATCAAGACAGCTGCAAAGGGGAGCTGAGTCAGAACTATCAAGGACAGGGTTTGTTTGGGGGTTTTTTGGTGGTACTCTGTCCTATCTGAAAACTCCTTTAACAACTTAATTCTTCATCTTTCCTATCTGGACAATACAGATGGCCTAGTCTATAATAAAGTAATATTTATCATTTAACTAGTCTCACGCTCAATTGATTTATGCATGAGAAGAATGAAATTTTCACTTCACAATATAATGATTTATGTGTATGCAAAAGAATTTAGTCTTCAGGGACTATAGTATGCAAGTCTTGGCTTTGGAACACCTATAACAAGCATCTTTTGTTGGGGATTGGAGAATTAAATTATTATGACTGATAGATTTTGTTATTTTGAACAATAAATTGAGCCATATAATAACTGGTTTAAGTAAGTTTGAACTGAACTGCAATTCAGTGGAAGAATACTAATTGTTGAGGAAAATGCTGTTTGGTTAAGTATTTCTCAAAACAACCTCTCTCTTTTTGTTTGTGCCTTTGTTTTACAGTACATTGTTGTCAACCATTCAGATGGATTTGGAGGTTAAAGGCATTGCAACATCTGTAAGAAGGCAACCACCACTGTCCTCAAGGACGAATAAACTTGCTCAAGTATGTTTAAAATGCAGCTCATTTTTAAAAAATAAATGAATTAATTTTTAAAGCATTATGGATTGATGTAACAAATATTCACCATTCAAATAATTATATCCAGGAACAAAACATTATGAGAATGTTTATGCATTGCTGCAAATTGCAAAATCTGAAATTGTTACAGAGATCTTATGAGTAGAAAAGCATATGTAAATCCATTATTTAGTAAAAACCAAGAAAATTTAGTAGTATCAGTTGGTGGCACATATATTCTCTTTATCTCAAGTTGTACATGCTTGATAGTTTCCACAATACAAAGAACTACTATGTATTTTAATACCATATATACTGGTGTATAAGATGACTCTTGAAATTGAAAATAGCAAAGCAAAAATTGAGTGTTGTCTTACATGCCTGACTTGTAACAAGTACTAGAAAAACAGCCCAAAATTGTCAACCTTGTCTTATACATGAGTCGCCTTATATGCTGGTATATGCAGTAATTGGAAACGTGGAAAGGTTGGATTGTGTTTCAATTGAAATAGATGCAGAACTGTTTCAGTCTTCTTTTAGAATGGCTCATTATATAAATGTCCTGTGGACATCACAAGTACCAATAGAAAAAAGAGTGGAAAAAGAGTGTACACAAGTGGAAAAAGAGAGCCACATCATTCCAAAATTGCCCATTAGTATAAATGTCCCTTACTGAATCTAATCTTAAGGTACCCCTAATATCTCCATTATACATATGTTTCTGATGGCTGTCAAATTGTTATGGTATTACACCAGCTGGTTTACTCCAAGAGAGCCAGTGTAGTGTACAAGGCTAGTGTGGTGTAGAGGTTAAAAGCACGAGAGTGGGACACATCCGATCTGGTTTCTAGTCCCCACTCAGCCATGATTCTTTTTCACCCATGGGACCCACTTTGTTTGCAATAGGACACTGTAACTTTGAAAAGTCTCCATCCCCCCCCCCCCCATTGGGATAGCTCACTGGAGCAACCGTCTGCAAGCTCTGCAAACTGGCCTTTTCCAAAACCTAGTGTTTCCCATAATCTTGGATTATTTTTAGCCATGTCAAAGCTCTTGTGCAAGCAGTGGGTTCCACAAGTGCAGCAGCATAACAGGATATTACCCATTGTAACAGGTCAAATGAAATATAAAAGAACCATCCTGGGATGGGCAACCTGTGAGCCTCAGCCTAAATATAAAAGCTTCTTATAAACTATATAGGCAGGAACTTAGTTTAGGCTGTTGGTAAACTTCTGTTGCAGTAACATTTCCTAATGATTGAAAGAGCCACATTATTTCTCATTGGTATAGTTCCCTCATTTCAGAGGAACATCACATTGATAAATCTAAAATTATGTGGCAAGTTAATCTATTTTTTTTTGAAAAATAATCTACCATATCACAGAATTTTCATAGTCATTTGTTACCTCCATAAAGTGTCTTAAGGTGTACAGTTTCTCCCTCCAAAAGAATTCCCTATTTTTCATTCAAACTCACTGTTTTCCTCAAAACGCTACTTTCTTATTTATGGTACATTTGATCTCCCCATTCTGTGTTTCCTGTCTAAAGATATTTAGATCTGAATTGATTCTTCCTTACAAACTTTGTGATGCTTATTTAGGGTTGAACATTGATAAGTATGGATAAACCATGTATAAAACATAGTTATTTGTCCATTTCTAGGGTTGGAGACCACATACAAAATCAAGTCATGGTCCTCGGCCAGCAGAGTAAGTCTTAATTTGCTTATTTTTTTTAAAGGTGTGTTGTTTTTAGAATCGTGTGTGTGTGTTCATGTGCATATGTACAGATGTTTACTTCTTCATAGGACCTGACTTCATCCTGGAGGTTGCTTATGAGACCAAGTAGAGGTACCTGAGGGCGTCAATTAGAGTAGTGACAGATGAGAAGATACAGAAATGGGTGGCTAGCTAGCCAGGTAGGGGCAACATGGCTCAGGCTGTTCAGGGTACAGGTCTTTTGTCTAACCACATGTTTGAAGGTTGTTCTACTTCCTTGAGTGTGGGACCTCAGATGCTGATTTTCAGCCCAGGATCAGCACAGAGTACAACTTCCCTTATCCTTGAGTTAATAGTGGATGAGGTGGCCAACTGGGGCATGTATAACTGAGACCTGATTTGATGAACAGGAGAAGTTAGCCTTTCCCTGCTGTGCCCACTAGTATGCTTGGTACAGCCTCAGGTAGAATGGAGTGTCAGGGAGTAGGCAGGTGCTGTGCTCTACAAGAATTCTGTGCTGTCATAAACTGCCCTGATAATTTCAGCTATTGGGCAGTAAACAAACAAACAAAGAAACATGTAACTAAATAAAAACCAATTACAGATACATGTTCAAAAAAGAAAGAGGAAGAATAGTTTTAGTTAAAAGTAGGTTTCAGCTATAAGCCATAGACATGAAAAGAGAAAAGACTTAAGACCTCACCTTCAAGGAATATATCTTTTCTATATGTTGCCTCTTATCCTCATTTCAATTACTATTAATATATTTCCAGTAATCCAGAAAATCCCTCTATCTGTTTATAAATGCCCACAAAACATTTTTGCCCATTTAAGTAAAAACAATTCCTTTAACTTTGCTCATAAGAATTGTATGCCAGATATTTTTCACAGCAATGTTGTTATAAGAATAAACAGGTTTTTCCCATTTTGCAAATATTATTTTCACTGCTGTAAGCATACAATCAGTGATACCAGTATTCTATTCTTAACCTTTATTTGTATTTCAGTAAAATATTTCTTGAGGAAAAAAAGCATTTATCTTCTGTAATTCCCATATTCTTCAGCTGAATTTTGAAATGGCATTATGGTCTTGTCTTTATATGAAATGTGGAAGATACCTGTGCTTTGTATATTTTTGTAAAAATGTCCAGTATATTTTTATTGTACATTTAAAGTTTTTCCTCAAAATTGCTGGTATATAATACTACTGAGCAATCTTAAAACTATTTTAAAAGATTTTAAGTACCTCATCCTATTAGATCATTCCATTTTTGTGCTGTAAATCTTAGTTTTTGAACTTTTCCTCATAATATCTTAAGTTTATTATCTTTAGGTTTCAATTCATCAGTATTTCTTAGATGAAATACATTATATATAATGACAGTGCAAACTGAGATAACCAACTTTTCCTGCAAAGGTTCAAGTGATAGCTGGTGAGTCAGGACATACATGTACATAGTCCCCTACCCCATCCCCAAGTGAGGAGGCAAGGAAAATGAGTTTTTCAGGGGTGGAGAAATGCCTGCACACTGAGGGATCATTGTGTCTCCTCCTTCTCCTTCTTGATTGGTACTGAAGAAAATTTCCCAGTAACAATCAGCTGGGGGGGGGGGAAGGCATATGGTTTAAGTGGGGAACTTTAAAGTTCAGAGATTACTTGCTTTCATTTTTTCTTTTACATCTTGATTTTTTTAATAACACTGATGTCAGTTTAAAAAATTTTCTGCCGGATGAACATTGAGTAGGGCAACAAGCAATGGTTTAAATTAAACAAATCCTGGGTAAGTATGCTGTGTTAACCAACCTGTCACATGTATCCATGGTTCATTTAAACCATGGTTTGTTTCCTTTCTCAGAGTTTGGCTAGCAGATGATTAAATAAACTATGGGTTGCATACTCAGTTTGTGGGTTGTTTGTTTCGTTCTCCCTTCACTTGTCCCCTCCCCGTATTCCAGTTTTGTTGTGCCACTGCAGTACTGGCATGCAGGAAGGCTGTTATTCTGGCCCAATCATGCTTGCTACCTTCTAGCAATAGCATGCTTGCTATTGGTTCAAAATAGAGCTGCCAGGCTGCTGACGGGGACTGGGCGTTATGTTCACATGACTCCAGTCCTCCGTCAGCTTGACTGGCTTCCCATTGAAGTCCGGGCCCAATTCAAGGTGTTGGTGATGACCTATAAAGCCCTTAATGGCTTGGGTCCTGGTTACCCGAAGAAGCGCTTACGTCCATGTATGCCTGCCCGCCTGCCCCTTGAGATCAGTGGGAGAGGCCCTTCTCCAGGAACCCTCTGTGAAGGAAATTAGGAGGGTAAGTACTCAGAGGTGGGCTTTCTCTGCGGCGGCGCCCAATCTATGGAATGCGCTCCCCAGAGAGGTCCACCTGGCCCCGTCGTTATTTGTTTTTCAGCGCCAGGCAAATACCTTTTTATTCAAATGTTATTTTAATTGTTAATATTATTTATTCATTGTATTCTTTGGCCAGGGCGACTTAATTTATATTGTTAAATTATATTGTTTTATTGAATTCTAATTATTTATGGTTTGTGAGCCGCCCCAAGGCTTTGGCGAATGGGGCAGCATAGAAGTCCCCTAAATAAATAAATAATAAATAAATAATACCTGTGCAGTGTGGTGAAACAATGAATTCTCAGATAATGACAAATCAATGGTTCAAAAAACTCATTCTTCAGAACCCAGCAACAAGTCAAGGAATGGGTTTACTTCATGAGTTGGTTGTGGTTAATCCATAGTTCCCAATTTGCACATAACAACAACCTGTGATTCAACACACCATGTTTCATTAAAACATAGTTTGCCATTATACACAGAACAGATTTTAATCTATGCCAGGTCAAGCATTCTGAGGTTGATATCAAAGTTTGCCTTGCAGATCCTTCACAGTGTTTCCAGTGTCCTTTGCAAATGAGTATGAAAATAGTCTCAAGTATCTTCCCTTCCAACTCTGCTTCCTGAAGCAAAAATAGGTCGGTAGGAAATTTTATTTTTTATTTTGTTTTATTTAGGATTAGGTCATTTTGAAAGCAGTGAACCTGCTTCAAAGGAAATCTTCTGGTACCATCTGAAAAGCAGGAAATATTTTGCAACCTTACCACATTTCCTAATTTCTTACTTTTTACAGAGTTCCATGCCTTGATCTGGGAAACTTGGGAGATTCAGAGGATGAGGTAATAATTCCTTATTTTCTCAGATAATTATCAATAAGTATGCAGAGATGGCAGTTGCTGGAATTGAAACCCTGGGAGGAAAATTAGAAACATACCCAATTTTCATGCTGCATTGTGATGAACCTCCTCTAGTTGTCTGTTTCCTGTCTTTCCACTAATTCTTTGGATTTATGGGAATACTTTCCCTGTGAGTTAATAAAAAGGGCTAAATGTACAGCTGCCTTAACTGACTAGTTCAGAATTGAGACATCTGTGGGCTTTTTTTGTTAGTATTTTGCTTACATAAAATATTATGTTTCCCTGCAGTTATTGTTAGGGTAGGTGAAGCCCCATGTACAACATGAATATAGATACCTGGTAGTAAATCTATATAGAATAATTAATAGGTAATCATTCAATTAATAGTTGATTAATTTATTAATAGTTGATTGATTCTGGTAAATTTTGGGAACAAGATCAACTACCATAATTAAAAATCTGAATACATAAAAATGGAACTACTGCAACAACTATGGTAATTTATAAACTGACTTGCTTTAAACACCTCTGAAATTGGCAAGATTAATTCAAGTGACAGTATTCCAAAATGATAGGATCCATTTATTAGATCTGAAAATATTTGCCTGTTTAGTTTATGAGAAATGTAAAAATGAACATAAGATTTCTGTAAAATCAGTCTCGGTTCTAAACGTATCTTTTATCTGCATAGCAGCATTTCTAGTCTAGTAGAGATAGTTGTTCTCCTGTTTTCAGTGATACCCCATTGCCACAACCCCAAAATCTCAACAAACCAGGGACCTGACAAGACAGAAGTGGTGCAGTGGAAGGAGGTAGCTGTAAAAGCAATGCTCCATTAGGATGCCATGCAGGTTGTTCCTCCAGATAGGGGCACAGTCATCACCTGGGATTCCAGGGACAGTTCTGGATCAAGGAGCACTCCCAAACTGCTCACCCTGTCTTTTAGGGGGAGTGCAACCCCATCCAGAACAGGGTTGAAAACACCGGTCCGGGAGACTAAACTGCTTAACCAGCAGGACCTCTGTCTTGTCTGGATTAAGCTTCAGTTTATTGGCCTTCATCCAGTCCATCACCTTGGCCAGGCACTGGTTCAGAACATTCACTGCCTCACCTGGATTAGATGTAAAAAGAGGTAAAGGTGGATGTCATCAGCATATTGATGACCCTGTAGCCCAGACCTCTGGATGACCTCTCCTAGCATTATCTAACATTATCTGAATGTTATAAATGTCTTTTTTATCTGTTTAGGCAAATAATACTCTGCAATAGCTTTATAAAGTGTAACATCTGAATGCTAAAAAGTCAGAAATGTTTTCTTCTGTTTAAGGATGGAGATAGCTTCATACCATACAGTGCTGCACATCATCATGTTGGTTCTCTACGTTCATCCTCAACTATTAGCTGGGGTACTCCATTACAGACTCCTTATGCACAGCATCACAATATTTATCAGGTAAATTGGTTTGAGATATTATCAAGCATGTTATCTTATCAGAAAACAAAGATCTCAATTGTTATGTTCAGGGAAAACTAGCGGCCCCTCCCCACAAAAAACTATTAGCTTGCTGTTGTCCAACATTTTGTTTAAATAATAAGGCTGCAATTTAAATAATTTTAAATCAATAAATGCATAAAAACAAGTATACTTTGGGAGTTCTCTGAATTTGTTAAAATCACTGAAATACTTTCCAACACTATGCTGGAAAAATAGTAGAAAACTGTTTGACTTCAAAATAAAGTATATTTGATATATTATGATCTTTTGCACTATTTCACATGTACCAACATCCTAAACATACTTGTTTCAATCTAGTATGTAGACTAATGCAGTCTGGCTCCTCCATACCTATTAATAGATGTGAAGAAAGATTCCTAATACTATTGGTGCTCCATCAGCCGTAAATAGTGCTGAACCAGTTTGCACATAAATCTGTGATTTAATCCACAATTTGTTGGTCAGTGTGCCTGCCTTGCATGCTCATCCATCACTCAGCCTCATTGTAAATTGCTTTGTGACATGCAAACCTGGACACTAACCCAGACACTCCCTGGGTTAAATAATCCAAACAACGATTAGTTACTAATCCACAATTTGCCACCAGTAAATACAAACAGGCCTGTTGAGTCTGTCATGCATATGGCTATGGATATCAATTGTTATATGAAAGTTCATTTTTCAGTTGAATAGTCACCTGAATGTCTGTCATTCAAATGGTCCAAAGTTGTTCCTCTTCTATGCTTGTATTGTCAGTTATGACACTAAAATTTGAGATGTGAATAGGACTGTGCATAAAATTATAGTTGCTTTGTTGGTAATAGCTGTGAATCTTCAAGCCAGAGTTCATACCTAATTTCAAAGTTTTCATTATTTAGCAAGTCTAATTTTCCCCAGCCAGTTAATCTCTGAAATTATTTCCTTTTGTATTATGCTAATTAGCCTAAATAATGTATTTTTTTTAAAGAAGAGAGATTTAAAATGATGTTCCTTTCTCTATTACCTAGTCGGCAAGGAAACCGGATCTGAAGGAAACTGAGGTAAAGTAGCTAAAGAAATATACAAAATAAAATTTTTAATGTATTTCAAAATCAGCCTTTTCCATAGAAATAATGAAGTCATACTATTTCTACTGCTGTTCAATAAATAGAAAGCAAAGCATCCCAACTTTAAAAAAATGTATTGTTGAAAACTTTTTTGTTTTTATATTTATCGTTTCTGATTTTCACTTGAAGTCTGTGCTATATTCAGCCTATTCATTTGGAATTTCGCAAAAATCCTTGTCAGTTTTATTTATTAATTGGTATGGTAATGGACTGAGCTATTTTCTAATATTTGAACATTCATTTTATAATTATATCAGAATAAATTTTTTGAACATTGTCAAAACCAAATGTTTATTTTAAAACTCCACCTAGTAGGACATCAGATGTTGCTAATTGTTAACTTTCTCCCCTAAATACATTTTTGGGTGACAAATGTTATTTCATAATAGAATTTGCTGTTATAACCATTCATGTTTATTTAATCTCAGCTTTCTTCATGGGAGCAAGAGACAGTACCAGAAAATCTGCCACCTCCAGCAGATAAATACAAACTGAAGTATCAGCAGTATGATGCAGAAATGAAAGCAGGATATAAGCAGTATTCCCAAAGACCTGCAGAAAAGAAAGCTAACAACAGCCAATCCAGTGAACCTTCAAGAAAAATAACTGAGAAGAAGGTAACACACTTTATCTGAAGCTAGAAATGATACTTAGGGTGACATTCTTTGGCCTTTTGCTGTTGCCTGGGAGGGGGACCAGGTTCAACATACTGTGATTTCAGAGCTGGGACTCCATAAGCTGAGTCCTCATCCCACCCTCTCACAGCCAGTGTGGAAACAATCACACTTGACTGCTTCTCTAAGGATGCAGCTGAGCCTTGGGGAAGTGGTAAAGGAGTGTGCTGAGGGAAAGAAGCTGAGGCCTGTGGCTTATGCCAGTTCCTCTTAGCTTCCCAGCCACCTTATCTCCCACTTCAGTCATCCAGATAAAATACATAGTATGAGGTAGAGTGGTGGCAAAGATCACCACCATTGTGCCTTGCTGTATGTGTTGGATGCATGTAACCCACCTAGACTGGATGCCTCTATGTGCATCGAGGGGCATTAGATTTCACCCTCCATCTTTCTTTCTAAAACACCTGTCTGAGACGTGTGCCCATTGGAAGCACAATCTGAACAATAATCTGGTTTCTGTTACTACTTCATAAATTGAGTTAGTTTGCATAACACAGTAGTTGGCCTATGAGTTTTAGCCTTGTGCTGTGATAAAATCCCCCTATGCCAGACAGATGACCAGACACCTTGCCCCACATGCCTCCACCCTGCCCCACATGGTTCCTTCTTGGGAAGAAGGGGTCAGGCAGGGAGTTTGCTTCCCCCAAATCTCCTACCTCTTCTCCCCGACACATGTGAGCTGGTGAGGAGAGGAGGCACTTCATCTCTGGTCTCCCTGGGAGGTGACCAATGGAAAAGTGACCCCCTGCATCCTTGCATCCCTCCTCCTTCCCAGCCCTGTTACCTTGTCTTCCCAGAACTGCTGTCAGATGGTGGGACAAAGGGAAGAAATAGGGTTGAGAATGCTAAGCCACTCGTCTTGCTTTCCTCTTGAGGAAGGTAAGCATAGCAGCACCTTCTCCTGCCATGTGCTGCCTCTCCATGCCTGTCCACATCTCCTCCTGCTGGTGCAGGGAGACTCTTCCAGCATTGTCAGGGGTGGGGAAGCTGCTTTCTCAGCTTTCTCAGCTGGATCAGCACCCCTTTCTCTGCACTTGTTAAGGGGCTGTACAGTTTCTCAGCTTGACCATGTCTTAGTGTATTATTGTTTCCAGATTCTGACAGTTCAATCCTCTTCCAGTCTTCATCACACTGTTTCATTTCCTTGGAGGTTCTTTACATTAGACTCTGTTCCTATTTGCATCTCTCTGTTGCTCTCTGTATCCTTCCTCTGACTTCCCTTCAGCCTGCCTTTCAGACTTCGATGTCTGTCTTAACTTCTTCTTAGACAGCCCCCCTTCTCCCTCTGCCCTGCTGTCTCCTGTTTCTTTTCCCTAATCTCTTCCATCATTCTCCATTTTCAGATGGACTTCCAGATGTACCATCTTGTGTACTCTTTTGAACTAATTTTTAACAAGGACTGCTCTGTCTATGACCTTTCTGAAATGGAAATTGCTCTGTTGTGGAGTTCACCTTTTCTCCTCCAGTATTGTTGCCTGCCCACTCCCCAACCCACATCCTGCATCCTTTTCATTCCATGTCTTCCAGTCCTTCGATTAGTTGGCATTCTGCAAAGCATTGCACTCTTTTCTCCTTGCTGTCACTTCTTCCTGCTTATTAGACTTTGCAGACTTTGCAGTTTTCAACTTCAGTTCATCCCTGTCCTCAGCCCTTAACACAGTTTCCCCATTCTACCAATTACTTGTTTGTCATCTTCACGGATAGCTCTCTCACTCCAATCTGCATCCTTGTGCTCATGTGTCTGAGCAAAAACTCTGACTGATTCACTCCATGCAAATCCCTCTTTAACTCTTTTTCCTTTGCTATCAGCAACATGAAGTCACCTCTGTTTTGTGCCATCTCCAGGAACTGCAAGAACCTTTTCTTCAGTTTGATGCCCTGCTAAAGCCTGAACTCTTCCCTTCCCACTTTCTGGTCCTTTTGCAGTGATCACATCAAATTCATCTGCTCTGATATCTTCAGCCCTTCCTTCCTCCCTGTTTTTCTACATCTCCCTTTGCAGCACCTCCCTCTATCCTTTATTCCCCCCCCCCCCCCGTGCACATCAAAAGCTTGTACTTAAATAAAGTCAGATACTATGTTGTGTAATTGGTCTGGACAAAAGCTTCTTTCTTCTACCTTGCATTTCCTCCCTGCTGCCCCATTTGAGCCATTTCATTTCAAAAAGTGTATTCATTTTTTAAAGAAATCTTCCCTTAAAAGACTGTAAGGTTGAGTGTTTAAAAACAGCAAACTTCTGTTATTAGACATTCCTTTAATTTTATTTGTTAATTTCCACAAGCCCAATCAAAATTTGACTAGTTACAGTCACAAAACTCAGATTCATAACACTATCTATCTCATCCTGAACAGTGAGGGACGAGAATCAAATTAAATACAGCATTAGTGCAGGTTTGGGGCATTGATGGTCAGTAGTTATATTGAGATAATATGTTGTGTTCCTACATAGGATTTACAGCCTGAAAACCAAAGAGATGATGAATTGGCAGTTCTTGATGAGAAAGCTTTTCTTCAGCAGTGCTATACAAGCAAACCCTACACAGTACAGCACAGCATAAGGAAATTAGAAGCCGTAAGTTTTCACGAGAATTGCAAAATCTCATTGCAAAATCAGTGTGTCTTTTTGTATTTAAATGCTATAAAGTAAGTAGGCAAATTAGATGTTTTGTATGAGGAGCGCATCCTCAACAAGTGCGTGGATAATACTGATTTTACAAAATGTATATGGGATATGTCATTGCCATTGGAATGGTATTCTCTTCGATTACTATTTTTACTTTTGTATAAACATCAAAAATTACTTATGAAAGGAGCAAACTTATGGCTCCTAGACAGTTTCTGGAGCTCCATAGGATGCTGCAGATGTCTTCCTTCATATCTATAGGAAGAGCTGGAAGCCTAGAGATTGCACCCAGCATGCACGCACCCACCTCCCAGGTGCTGTGAAAAACTTTGGTGGGTTGCAACTGCAAATTTGTAAGAAAACAGGAAATGGGGGTGCTGGTGGTCAGGGAAGTGGGAAGAGGATAGGGCAGGATTTTAGGACTGCTCTAGTCTCCTTCCTGCCCACCTAAAGAAGTAAGCTCAAATTACTTGGTGGTTTATGTGAGTGGATTTTGTATTTGAAACAGTCTCTCTTCCTGCCTGGCTCTTGCCAGGAGGGCACAGGATAGGCAGATGGTTCAGAGCCCTCTGTCTCTTGGAGTTAGGATTAGGGTTCAATCCTTAGTTTGATTCTTAGTTTGGATTTGATCCTTAGTTACTAGAAATCTTGAGTTCAGCATTAGAATGATAGCATAAGTCTCCAGTTTCATATGTGTTTGATTTCTGAGCAGACCATAAGATGCTAAAATTAATATATATCATGACAGTCACACAGATTAGGCAATGACATTATCCTATGCTATACTGAATGGAAGCAAAACTATTCGAGACCCTTTTCCTGCCTATCAAATGAAGCTTACACATATGACATATATTCAAATTATTCCTTTCTGACCTAGTTCAATGAAAATGAAAACTCAGCTTTGATTACTAATCTGAGAAAGCTTTTGGGAAGGACATTATATATGTCTCCTAGTTTTACAACAAAAATCCACTTTTAATTATGAAGGGTTCTAAATGATTCCAAGTTCTAAAGGTTTATCCTGTGTAACCCTTTTAATAATATTTCCTGAATGACTTAAATTGATTTTTTTCTGTTTAATGGTTGTTTTACAGGAAGATGTAGCATCAGAGAGAAAAAAACAAATTGTAGTGGAACAAGTTATGATAGATCAGTTATCCAGGTAAAATAATAAATACATTGATTTTTCATGCATTTCCCCCCACTCAGGGACAAAGATGCAAATTCCTAATGTTATGAATCTGATGATTATTTGTTTAAGGCACAGACTAGCTCACTTTTATTTATTTAGTTATTTATTTCATTTTTATACTGCCCAATAGCCAAGAGACTCTGAGCAGTTAACAAAGGTTTAAAAAAACTGAAACCAAACACATAAACATATACAAGATAAATTAACTTAAAATAACAAAACCACAATTGCAATTGAATCAGCAGAGAAGCATTCTATTGTTCCATTGTTTTTACCAGGGAGAGTTAAGTACATGAAATCAGTGGAAATCCAGACCTCTAAATCCAGTGTACCCTGAGAAGAAGAAATTGTTGTGCTAGTGGAACTTCACTGTCTTTTCCTGTTGCCTAAATGCTAACAGACCACTTTGATGGACAAGTAGATTTTCTACTGTACTCTCTTTTGTACATAGTTTAGAAGTTGATTTTCATTTAGCAAAACATTTGTGTAAGCATAATGACACTATTGGATAGATTCCCATGTATTTAGCTGGATTAACTGATTAACTGATTGATTTTAAATATAAATTTATATCCAACTCTCCAGTATGCTCAAGGTGGCTTATATAATAAAACATGAAAGCAAAAGTTAAAAGTTGATAAAACAAACTTAAACATAAGACAGGTAGTTGTAAACATGTTTAAGTCTTAGATTCAGTAGTATTCTGCAGAATAAATATACATAGGATTAGGCTAAAAAGTTATATTGAGGGTGCAGTCTTACAGATTTCACCCTTATTGGACAGAAGGTTCTGATTTTCATCCTCATCCTCATCTTTGTGTCTTCTTCCCATCAAGTTTTTGGTCCTCTAGATGAGAATCCAAGTCCATCTAGAGGGGGGTGGGGCTAAGTTTGGAATGGCCAAAGGATTTCTTGTAGCTTCCTCTCCTTTCTTCCCTGCCCATCTGGGATTGCCCCTCTGAAAAATCCTGTAGTCCCTGGAATGCCCTCCAGAGACCATAGGAGTACTCTCCCAGCATATTAGTTTGGATGTAGATTCTGTTGAAGTAAATTATTTTTTTTAACAAGGAATACCTACTTTGCAGTCCCTCCATCTGCAGAAGGGTGCAAAGAACTAGAATTTGGTAAGTAAAGGTTAGTGAGGAAGATGAAGAAAGACACCTTCCCTCCTCTTAGTGGCTGACAGAACACCCCTTTCTTGACTGCATTTATCAATCTTGGAGTTTAGGGAGACAATCTCTTTAAAGCAGCCCGGAAGAGAATCATGCTGTCAGGCACATTTACTTGAATAGGAAGTAGGATGAAAGATTAAAGAGGAGGTAGAATATGTCAAGTGGGTGTTTTTTATTTCTCTCCACTGTGCGTATTAGTCATCCTTTGTGCACTTGCTTCCTGGTTTCCATGCAGCTCCAGTTCATCCTGCCAACTGGGGCTGGATTGTGTGACCAGATCTTGTTACAAAGGAGATTTAAATGGTCAGTGGATCTTCATTAGTGAAATCAGTTATTCTTTCAACATACCATGCGTAGTTTTTTTTATTAAGGTTATGTTCTTCTAACATAACAAGTGCTAAGGAAGTTTGTTGCCATGTTAAGACATACTTATATACTAAAAAAAAAAGAATTATTTTTATTGCCCGTCTCTGTTTTGTGGTTTGCTACTGCTTCGTTACGTCTTGTATGAAGTATAATGATACTTTTTATACAATACCCTTGCATCTCTTAGGATAAAGGGCAGCCTAGAAAATTTTAAAATAAATAATCAGAGTACATATTATGTTTGTATTATATCATGATATAATATGATATATAATATGCACATACTATATCATGATTCCGTAAAATCATGTTATTTTAAAACTTTTTGGATTAGGGCTGTAATAAGTGATCCAGAGCAAAATGGAAATTCTCATGCTTATGAGAAGGATCCTATTCTTCCAGGATTAAGTACAGCACCTCTACGCTTCAGAAAAAGAACGTTACATGAAACAAAGTAAGTGGATGTTGTATTATCTTGCCTTTGCCAATTATACCCTGGAAATTATTTCATGATGGAATTTCAGATTGAAAACTGAGGTTTTAGTTTAGAAAAAAAACAACTCACAGCCAGTCCAAGCAAATATATATATATGTATATCCTTGGCAGCACACTGACTGGCCATGCAAATGCTCATGCATGAGTTGCGGCTCATGATGTCATCGCCTGGCTACTCCTTTCCAAACATGTGCATGGCCCCTATCTGTGCTGTTATCCAATGCTTGGCTGCTGGGGTGATGCTGAGGTGACTTGACTTGCATGCCAACAGAGAGGGCTCTGCATGCCCGCTGTGGCACATGTGCCATAGGTTCTCCACCACTGATATAGAGTGTGATTCACCCTAGACCCTGGCCCCTGCCTGAGGTCCACCTGTCAACCTTTTTGCATACCGGCAAGATGCAGCTTTTCGGGAAAGCTTTTGGACTGTTGCCTAAGGAAGTTATTTTTGACTGCTTGATTGGTTCTGTTAAAATGGTAATAATTTTTGTTTGTATTTATTATAATGTGCTGGTAAGGTCTATTCTGTTAACAGATTTGTTTTTAAGTACGTGCATATTATATGGTATCCTCCACTGTTAGTTCCAGCTTCACTACTACCTTGGAGTGGGGTTTCTGTCAGTGCAAAGTGGTGTCCTTAAGATTTGACTGGAAGAGGCATGTGGCATCTATGCAATTAAAGCTATTATGATACTGAAGCTACCTTTCCGTGCTAAATGTTCCCAACTATGAGCCAGTACCATCCACACAGAGCGATAGCTCCAGGATAATGCTAGCACTGGAACTAATCACAGCATAGGTTACCATACCATATGCATATTGCTTAAATAACATCTGTAATTTGGCACTTGAGTGTACATAGAATGCTCTTAACACAACATGCTAGACTGAAAGCTTTGCTGTTCATTGAATCTCATAGCATTTTGAGATGGTTGTGCCTACAATACCAGACAGCTAGATTACTTAGAATAGTAGACATCATTTTTCCTTGAGGAGGAGAGTATATTACACCTCAAAATTGATTCTGAGGAGACTGTTAGGCAAAGAAAGGAGACAGAGCTCTGGAAGGGAAATTCTGTGGTTATTTCTAAAAATCTGTGACTAGCTGTGTAGACCAGGACTCAGAAGAGATTGTAGGCTTCAGTTATTGGACAGAGCTGCTGCTCTCTGGTATGTAGGGACAGGGCAGGCTGCTGCTGCTGCTTTTTCTGGGTGTTTACTCAGCTGTCTTGGAACTTGTCTTTTTGTCTGTCTTTGCTTTTCATTGTTCCTTCAGAATATGTAGATTTTTCAAAACCTACAAATACCTTATACTTCCAGGATGTACCACATGCTATACTGCCTCCCTTATTTAAGATGGAAAACTGTTTCCCAAAACAATACTGTACAAGTAGATAAATATTACTAAGTAAATCCCATGTAAGTCTGTGTAGAAAGAAAAATGAAACACCAAGGCAATACCTATGAAACTTTTGGAGAATGTTTATTAAGTTTAGAAGTCCTATGAGTAGTGTCTTGCCCATTATACCTCAAAATTGGCATCCTGAAAGCCACTTCTCTTTCAATTGTTTTTTTCCATGTAAGATACAGAAGGGACTGTCCTCTGACTTCTGATTATAATCACTGAATGCAATTCAGCCAGCTCACCCATTGTGTCCTATAATACTTCCTGCTTCATGTGTCTGGGCTTGTTTTAGTTAGTGATCTGTATTCATGGCTTGGCTTTGCCAGTCTTTTCATGATCAATTTAGCAGATGATTCATGAGCATTCTTAGTTCTAGAAATAGTTAGCATACAAAATGCTCTTGCTATATTTGCATAACACTTAATTAGTAATTATGTTTTCTTTTTACAGAATAAAAACTAGGTCAGCATTAACTGAAAATATGCTTTCCAAGAAATTACGCTTTGATGGTAGAGTGATATCAAGGTATGTCTAAAATTCTTCTAAAACTTTCTTCCTCTTTGCATGAAGTTTTTAATGGTCTGAAAAGCACCATTCAGGAATCAAGACTTGTGCAAATACTGCCCCAGGCTGTTGACAAAAAAATGTGAAGGTGACATTCAGCCATCAGCATCCCTGAATAGATCATTGGTGTAACCAGTTTCGGGGCCAAACTACACATTATATTGAATATGTTGCAGCGTTTTATGTAAGTATTATAAGTTGTCACAAAGTCTCCAATTTGAATTGGGATCAGCAGGTGCTCAGTTTCATGGCTGTATGGCTCCTATCTTTCTGTAAACTGTGCAGTGAGGTTTGTGTAAGCTTTGATTGATTAACTTTCAGCTGCTGGAAGTAAGTTAGGGTATAATCCTATTGAATTTGGAGGCTTCCGAGTTTCCTGTGCCCTGTTGGTTCTGAAGGCTGTGGTCCCTTTTTAGCTTGTCCAGTGAAGTCACCTGAGAGTGGTGGGAGAAGAGTCTGGAGTATCTCATATCCTGGCCTTTCTGGTCTGCTTCCCTCTCTGGGCACCAGAATGTCCCTCTACCTCCTTCAAGGTCACTTTTCTGACCAGGGAGGTAGCTCTCCCCATGCAGGTTCTAAGGGAATGATGTCTGAGCTGGGATCTCTGACTCTTCTTCCAAGATTGGAGTGTGGTCTCTGACCAGATTGGGGGTTTCTGAGCTGTCTTACCATCCATGAGACAGTTGTCCAAGGACCATAGGACTGCACTCCAATATAATCATTTGAACTTTATCTAGGAAATTATTCCTAAGGTGTGTATTCTTTCACCTCATCTGCTAAATACACAAGCAGATGAAATGTATTTCCTGTCTGGTTGCTTGGTAGGGAATCTATATAAAAGAAACTTATATAATTTCTGTTATTCTTATAGAAATGGACGAGATGCTTGTCGAGAACTGATTGGATTTTTCTTTGCGTATGACAAATCTCTAACTGTATATGAATACCGACAATTTGGTAAAAATAGGTATGTAGGACAAGGAACAGTTATGTCAGAGCGTTATTGACCCATTAGTGAAAGCAGTTAGTGAAAGCATTTCTTTTTTTTCTCTCTTTAAATTTCATGCAGAACAAATGCTCTCCCTTTCATTCAGAAGGGAGTTTATAGTCATCAGCGTGGTCAAAGAAAAGGAAAGCAGTACTGTCTTAATTGCTTCTATGTTGTAAGTATTGTGAATCTCCTAATGTTAACATGAGAGCTAAATGCCTCTATTATTGTTACAACTCGCAGTGTAAAATTTCTACAGATCTTGAGAAAAGATGGGTTTTTCCCAGCGGTTTTGAGAAGTGGGATGTGTGCAAATGGAAAAATATGAAACACATAAAGTCAGTTTAGGCTCCATTCAGTGTGGCTGCCCCTAATCTGAATTTGGAGGATTATGCACCCACTTGCACAGGAGAGGCGCATGGAGGAAAAGGTTACCTCTGTACTTCTCCTACCCTGCAAAAGGCATAGGTGGCTGATTTTGTCTTATGACCGTGCTTGCAATGGGGAGGGGCATTTTGCATTTAAATCTTCGGGCTGTGAGTTTTATTTAAATACATCTGTTGTAAATAGTATTACCAGATAAGATTGCATTTCTTGTTTTTCCCACAAGAGGGCAACCAATAGCAGTCAGGAAGGGATGAATGAACATAATTTTTATAACTTGTAACTAAATGAATCATGACTGGACTGTTTTTCAATAGTTATTTCTTTTTACTAACAAATATAGCAAAAGCCCATGACATACTTTATGGATATTGTGTTTTAGAATATAAAAGGAGTTATTACAATACCTTAAGAAATAACTGTGTATGTTAGTTTGACATTGGCCTTTTTAAAAATTCAAGAAAAATAATACATTATTACTGATTCATGACTGATAGAATAGTTATGTCGACTGAGAAGAATTCTATATTGAATTTACAAAGGCATTTTACTAGTACTAGTGGCAGCAGGCCCAGGCATTCTGTGAACTGCAGGTGTGCCTTGGGGGTTGCCATTGTTGAAGAGACCTTTTTGAACATATATGCATTGGATTTCCATTCATGGGAAAGATGCTGATGCATAACATGTATTCTGTTTAATATGCACTCTGTTTACCATTCCATAATCTGCTTGGATATGGGGTAGTATACAAATACTGTGAATAAATACATATGATAAATATGTGTATAGATATTTCCCAAATGGCCATATACCCTTCATTTCAACTACTTGTCATTGGATGGTTTCCCAGCTTTTTCTCTTTACAAAAAAAGTTAAATGGTGGAAATGCATCTCCTTAGAACTTTAGGCTAAATATGCCTGCATTTTGGGCGGAATATATTATATACTGCTCTCTATCCAGAAAGGGTCTTTGGGAGGTTTAGAAAGTTAAAACATAAAAGCAAAGATAAAAGATATCAATATCACAATAAAAACAGTAACAACAGCCTTCTCATAGTCACCATTATCTGGTCCAGAGTGAGAGGCAGGGTATAATGGCAATGAAGAAGAGCAAGTCCAGAGCTTGTATCAGTGGGCCCTTGCCAGGTTATGGACCTTCAGCCAAATGCCTGACACTGCCTCCCTCTGATGCCAACCCTGGGCTAGATATTGGGGTGGATCTCAGGGCCGTCTTAACACATGGGCCTGATGGGCACTTGCCAGTGGGCCCCATGCTAATCTGTGTATGTTAACCCTTGGAAAATTGGAAAACTTCCAAAATTAACAGTAGTTGTTGTAGGGGCCCCAGTACACTGCTTTGCCCGGGGCCCATAATGCTGTTAAGACGGCCCTGGTGGATCTACGTTTGTGGATGGCAGGTACACTGAATGAATAAGGACATCTGAGGAGTGAGATATACATGAATAGTGGCTGTTGTGACCATCCCTCCTGAGCATACTGGATTTAAGGGGGGAAAAGGAAAAGGGAGAAGATTAAGTATAGCAATCAGTCTGTGTATGTGACTGCATCTTAGTCATGTATCATTTTGCCCTCTAATTACTGTAAGGCAAGCATATGCAAATAGTTTTTTTATGAAAATAGTAGTGAAAACTGCATTTTATTTTGATGGAATGTAGTAAAAAAAAAGGTTCAGATTGTAACCCATTCCTATATTATTGTTCATAGGGTGCAGACTTAACTTTTTTGAGCCTTCATCATCCTGGCCTTCCAGAAAGTATGACGCAGAAACCAGTATTTACAATCCGTGTCACAAATATTGATGAAACTGCTAGAGCTTTTCTAAAGTAAGTGGAGTTCCACCAACTGCTCAGATTTCATTTCTTGTGTTGAAAGTATGCTCATAAAGAAAGATTTATATTAGCTTTGGGAGTTTGGGAGAGTTTGCATGTATTTTCAGAACATAAATGTTATATCTCTGCTATGAAATTATATTGCCTTACTGTTGATTATAGAATTCCAGTAAGTAAAATAAATTGTATGTTATTGGATCTCACAATCCTTCTGCTAAGGAAGCCACCAGACAAGGAGATACAAACAGAATTACATGTTACACGTAGTCCTTTCTTAGTTCTCATGTTGTCCCCTTGTTCTTTTTGCTGTTGCTTAAGTTGCTATTTGAAGGAGGAAACCGATGCTGGGAAGAAGGTTCTTTTCCCTCAAACAGTTTTCCAATCCAAGTCTTCCCTTAGCCATTTTATTCTTTTATATTAAAAGAAACAAGTCTTTCCATTTGAATTGCAGCTTTAGAAAACAAAACAGTGCCGGTAAACAGAATTACAGAACTATGTGTAATGTATAGTTTCATTCTGAAATTAGTGATTAGCTACTCTGAAATAAGGAAAGGAGCAAGACAAAGTAGAAAATGCTACCTGTAGTGAATGCCCTGCACCATCTTGTTCTCTTTCGCTATGACTTCACTGAGAGTGTAGCAGCTCTAAGTTTCAGAGACCAGCACTGAAACCATAGAAGTTTATCTGGAGGTGTGAAGGAAGGAAAAGATCTCCTTGTTAGGTATAATTACAGATCAGATAATAACTAGCAGCTAGTATTGTGAGCAAGATGAGATTAATCCAGGTAAGATAGATGTTAATTGGAAATTTTGCTTATCTGGATGGAGGTATACAAATTGTTCTGAATGGGATTGAACTCCTCTTGAAGAATCAAGTAAGCAGGCTGTCCATGTAGTAGTATAGGTAGCTGCAAGTACTTTTACCAGGTTTAACTGGTTTTCTAGCTGCAGCCCTACCTAAAGAAGGTAGATTTGGCCTCAGCCATCCTGAAAATGGTGTTTTCAGGGCAATGAGAACTGTAGACTTTGTACCACATATGGTATGGCTGGAAAGTTCAGTTTGGTCTCATCAGAGCAGAAAATCCTTTTCCATATGTTTGCTGTGCCTCCCATATACCTTTTTGAACATGCCAGGCTTTGAGATGGGTTTGTTTCAGCAATGATTTTCTTCTCTATTTTAAAAGCAGTGTTTAAAACATATATCAAGGCCGGTATAAATATCTGGTATCCTTGGCTACTGCCCAGACCCTAATTTTCTAAAAGAGAACAGTGGTGCTAACTCTGGGGCCCCTTTTCCCCTAACCCAGTGCCCCAAATGCCTGGGTTTAGTTGTACTTTAATTTGTCCCTTATCCTGGTGTTTCATTACTCTAGGGCATTAATCACAACTTCTATCCCTAGTGCAGGTGTTTTCTGATCTGTGGCCCCCAAGCTCTTTCTGTGTAGCCCTCCAATCTGCTTGTTTACTGCTATCACCCTCAAGGCATTTCCCCTGAAACCCACAGTGTTCTTTCTGCCTCGAGCAGTGCCATCTATTGCTGTTTTTCCTGTCTCTTTCTTACCGAAGAAGAGGAAGAGGAAGAAGAAGAAGAAGAAGAAGAATTCCACAGTATAATGTTGTTGCAAAATGAATTGCATTCAAGTTGAGATTCTTCATTGACCACTGAAAGTTTATTTTTGGTCTAAATCAGGAGGTTAATAATTCGCTTACATTTTGATTTAAGATTTGGCCCTCTTTAGGAATTAGGCACTCTAATGTGGCACCCAGCACTGTTCTAGTGCTTCTTGGAGCAGTACCACCAGCTGAGGAGGTAATCCAGCAGAAACCATGTTGCCCAGGACCAGCTCAAACCTGAAGTTGCCCCTGATCTGTATGGTTTAGATGCTTGTATGCTGTAAAAACTAATCTACCTTCCAACCTTGCAGTGCAACAGCCTTGAATGTGTTCATGCATTGAAAGTATGCATACCTATGTATTACTGTGTGTGGTGTCATCTTGGCATTTTAAATAAATAGGTTTCAGACTTCCTGAAATTTGATATGTTAATTTTAAAGTTCACAAAAACCTGATTCTCTTCTGCCCACTGCTATGAACTTTGTTGTAGAATAAAATACCTTGAATGTTTATTTATTTACATAAATTTATAGGCTGCCTATAATTGCCAAGGCCTTTCTAGGCAGTTTATATCTGTGAAACTTGATTTCTGTTATGTGTAATGCAGCTGCTTACTGGATGCATGTATTACAGGACTTTAGATGTGGAAAACAAAGAACATTCTATCAAGCAGGAAGGTGATGCCAGCAATATTTTTAGGAATGTTCAAGGTCTGTATATATCATTTGCTTTATTTTCAATGTCTTGAATTTTAAAAAAGCATCCCAACTGCATAGTTTGAGGATTTCTGGGCTGCAGTTTATTTAAGAATAATTTTATTAGTATAGTAGATTTCCAAAATCAGTGGGCTTTGGGCTTTAAGTAATACATATAATTCTTGAAGACATAGAATAAAAATAGTACAGTATGTATCCATTTATTTCTGTTTGTCTCTCTGTGTGTGTGTGGGGGGGGGAGATGGAACAGAGGAAGTAGCCCAATGTGAAAGAAGTCCATGATTGATTTTGCAGCATATCCAGTGAAAAGAATCTTATGTAATTATCTTTCCCAGCTTGGCTTCAGGCAAACAGTGGAAGTTAGAGTGGACAATTCTAATTCTAGTGGACAATTCTAGTGGTCTAATTTTATACTCAGTGATATCTTGCCCTTTATTAAAATAATTACCAACACAACACATTGTTATAGAAATGTTTTCTATTTTTATCTTCATCCTAGAGAGGCTGAGGGAAAAACTAAATAAAAGAGGAGTTCGTGTTTTTACACGATTAGGAAAATACTTCCGGCAACTGGACAGTAAACAAAATGGAGTTCTTACAAAAGCAGACTTCAAGCAAGCACTGAACGTGTTCCATTTAGAAGTACCTGAAGAGGTATGTTTCCATGATCCCATTCTCCTGAAAGAGTCTGCTGAGTCCCATTTGCATAGAAACTTGCAAACTGCTCCAGTATAAGCTTCAAAGGTAACTTCCTGCTGTTATCGCTCTAGGGTTTGTTTCCCATAGCAGAGGAAGGACACCTTTTACAAGGAGATGTTTCAGAAAGGTAAATAGGTTGGTGACTTCCAGTCTTTCTAGACATGCATTATTTTCAGTCTCAGTCAAGAGTAATGAAGGTATTTTCATTTATAGTATATAGAGTTTTTCTGCACAAGGCAGTTAATTGCTTGTATCTACTTTTGACTTCATTACAGGCTGCAATTTAAGCACTACACAGTATTTCGTTTCTGCTATTTTACTAGCTAACCTCTAGGTGGCAGTGCAGTATAGCAGAAAAACACAAATACTCAAAAAGAAATTGCACCTTTTTCACTTTAATAATTAATGGCATAGTCTCCCTATTTCTCCCACTACCCTTCTCACAATAGCAGAAGCTTCTTGTTTTCAAGTGAAATCCTTACTAAACTTATGTCAGTCTATGTCACTTGGAGAGGAAGTTTACAGTGAAGTTTATCAGGTAGCAGTAGGTACCTGTTTGTTACCTTAGGATACCTTTTTAACTTCTGACATAGGGTTATGTTATCTTGTTCTCTTGATAATCTTGGGGGCAGCTTTCAATGGGAGACTTATTAGCTTAACAAAGTGATAACTAAAAGGTTTTTCATGACACATGTTGAACTGAATATATATATATATATATATATAAAGCTGTAACACAACAGGGATTCATTGAACACAATTCAGATATGCTTGGAGAATATGTTTCTACTGCATAATGTTTAAATGAAATATCTTCATCTTCAGGCAATAATTTGGCCTTTGCTACAGCTCCAGTATGTTCATCCTATGTTTTCAGTGTGTTCAGTATCAACTTATATGACATAAAACTCTTACATTACAGGATTTTGAATCTTTGTGGTTAAAACTGGAGGAAAACTATGATACCAGAATTGATTATATGGAGTTTACTCGTGCCATTCTTGGAGAAATGAATGAATATAGGAAAGGATTTGTCAGAAAAGTAAGTTTATTTAGTCAAGCTCCAGATAACTAACAGTCTATAGATGACTAATCCACTTAGGACACAGTCTTATGCTTGCTTAGACATAAAGTCCTGCAACTCCAGCATGAAGAGGGTATAAGGTTGTACCCTATTTTTTTTTTTAAATTAGAATGTTTAATTCTAAAAACTGTCTAAGATTGATAATATAGGTATAAAATACAAGTATAATACACTTGTCACCTAAATTTCATATCAGTATTTATCACCTTAAAGTGATATGACTTTTCTTATTGATTTTCTTGGAAAAATTCAAGAGTAAATATCTTGAAAATTGTAGTCGGCAATGGCAGCAAAAGTTCTTCATAAACTGATAATACATTTTTAGCTGATGGTTTTCATTTTTCAATTTTTGTAAATTTTACTAATTTGTTCAATATCAAGTGCCAGCACTTGATATTGAACAAATTAGTAAAATTCTCAGCACCATTGAAAGAATTACTGCTTGTTTTGTGAGAAATCCAAATATTGCTTGATAATGCTCTTATTATTTTTAAACCTTATTTTACCTTAAAGGTAGCCCAAATAATTTTAAAGCATAATTTAGCTGATGAATTTATATACCACCCTTTATTGTATTCATACCACCTTGGCTTGCAATCACTTTACTTATAGAAAGAGTAGACTGAATATATCACTTTCTGAAACACAAATTGCCTGCCACTTATTTCCTGGTTTCCAGACTTGTGGGCCTGGCAGCTGTTTGCTGATCTACTATGGTGACATGAATGTTCACAAGCATTCAAACTGCTGAGGTGGACAGGTTAGCTGTCAGACTGTTGACAGACATTGCAGTTTTTGTTAAGGAAGTGAAAAATCCTCTGAGGTGGGGGTCAGGGAAGCCTTCAGAAAGCTGGGATATTGCTGGTAGAAAAGGTTGACAGCTAAGAATACTGAAAAGATTGTGGGTGGTAGGAGAGAAAGAATTCATATGCTTAATCTCACCAGTGGTCCATTTAGGCCATAATCCTGTATCTACTTACCAGGAAGTTAGTCCCACGAACTTAGTGGGTCTGTGTAGCCATACAGGATTTTATGGATGTCTGTATTCAGCAGTAGACAGCCAGACAACCAGGCATATTGAAATTAACTTTTTTCTTTTGAATCTTAAAATCTGGTGATCTACGTTAATTATATGATAGCACTTTTCTGATTCTCTGGCGCTATCCACTGATGAACTTCTTTTCACTTAATAGAGAACATGACTGGGAAAGTTCCTGCAGTTACCCTTCTTGTGACCCAGACTACATCCCTCTTCTAGTAATCTGCCCTCAGTCTGGGTACTGGATTTAGCACCACATTCAGACCAACCAACCAGTAAAAGAGAAAGAAATCAATTTAAAAGGAAAGGCAATAGGATTAGGATTTAAAGGGGAAGGGTGAAAGTACAAAGTACAATTAAAGTGTGGTGATAAATTACCAAAGCAAAATGTAAACCCTGTTCCCAATAATATGCAGACTCTTCAGCACATCACATTGACAAAAAGTAACAAAACAAACCCTACTCAGACCCTAACTAGGCAATGGGTCTCCCAAGAGTAAAGATCCAACAAAGTAGGTCACGCAAGAGCTGATGCCTTGATTTTATCCTACCACTCATCCTGGTAGTAGCATGTCATTCAGCAGCCAATCCAACAGTGGACTGCCATTTTCCAAGGCATATCAAGCCTGGGGTTTATCCTAGATCTAGGCAATCAAACTGTAAAAGCTTAACTCAATAAAGCCTAGCCAATTATCTTGGGGATAGAATTCACCTCCTCCCCTGATTAGCCCCAAATCATGCAACCTCCAAGCTTTCCCTGCCAAGACCCTAATCAAGAGAAGACAGTAGAAAAACTAGCCAATTTAGTTAACCCTTGAATGCCTATCCTTGGACCTTCTTCACAATGACTTTGTGTTTTTCTTTTTAAAGTGCAACTGTTCTTATAACCTAATGCAGGGAGAAGGGTAGTTGACCTTTGCATATCTGAAATAACCAGCCTGATCTTTAAGTGTAAGCCTGTCATCCCCAAATTAGCAGGGTTGATATTCAGGGTTCTTTTGCATACTAAAATAAGTGTATATTTCTTGGTATATAGTTCCAGTGTCATTGAACCTTCTTGTTCTAAGCATTTCATTTGTGAAAAAAACAACTCCCGTTTGAGCAGCATCAAACCAATATAGCTCCTGGAGTGGGAATGGAAGGAAGTAGGGAGAGACACAGAGAGAAAGAGAAATTCGCTTTCTGGGTCATCTAAATAAAATTGTCAGTGAGTGAGAAAACAAGTGAGTCAGTGAGAAAATATTTTACTGTTTATGCAGTGGGCAAAAATGTGATAATGAATTGGCAGTATTGACCAAAAACCTAAGCAGACTTTTGAGTATAAAATACCCATGTTTTGATTTAAATGTCAGTAAAACAAATCATGATGTTCTGAGGCCAGCTAAAAAAAGCTTACTTCATTAGAAGTCAGCACAGTTAAGCACATCAACTACGTAGTTAATTATTCAAGTTCTCCTTGTCTTTCTCTGGATCCTAAGTAGGTGCTCATCTGCAGCCAATATAAATATTTATATAAAACCTAAATTTCTGGGTTTTGTGGTTTATGTATATGTATGCATTTCTTTTTTTTGCAGTTCAGTCGTGTGGCTGATAGACAGAGTCTAAATAGGGTTGTTAAGGATTGCAGTGCCAACCTTGGAAATTTGCTCCAAGGTCAGAGCTGGTACTCAGAATTCACAGTTCCTTCCCTGTACCCTTTCAGCTGGGTAAGCGTCCGAGTTGCAAAAGAGACCTTGGAAATGGGCTCCTGAGGGCAGGAAGCAAGCACCATCAGGATATATGAATAATCCTTGCACTTCTTCCTCCCCACTCCAAGGCTGAACACTTAGATGGTTAAAATTGGCCCTCAAAGTGTTTTGCATGGCAGGAGAAGCGTGTAAGTGACCTCTGTCTCCATTATTTTCCTGCAATGCATAAAATATCCATAATCCTCTCAATTCAAAGGATTACAGGCAGCCTTACTACATTTGTCTCCTAATGTCATATTTATTACTGTTAGTAAAAATAGCAGAGAGATATATATGGCCAGGTGTGTGTATGCCTGTGTAATTACTCTTCATTTATTCTTCACACATTCTTTTTTTTTTTTTTTGGTTATTGTCTCTGTTCAGGCTTACATGAAACTGGATTACAACAAAACTGGCAGTGTGCCTATGGTAGATATCAAAAAATGTTATTGTGCTAGAAAACATCCTCAAGTCATAGCAGGTAACTAATGTACAGGAAAATAATTGTTTACTTTTGTTGTTACAAAGCGTTGATATCTGTATCACTGCTTCTGCAATATCTAGCTCACAGTGAATTACCCTGACTTCCAAGTACAATGAACATGGGGAAGGATGCGGCCATTCACGTCATGTTTTGGCAGAAATGGGAAAAAGAACATAAATAAACTCTCCTAACCTGGTTAGAATAAGGGGTTGATCCCTCTTTTGCTTGAAGACTTCCCATATGCCACATGATTGGAGGAGTCAGGTTGTTCTTTTTGTTTGATTGCAGTATGGTTTGCTAGAAGAAAATGATTAAAGGTCATTTGAAACAGATACAGAACTTTCTATAGTTCTTTGATTCTGGAATAAGCTTAAGTGAGTCCTTCTCAGCGTAAGAAAAATGGAGTATTATCCATTAACCTGAAAACTACCAATTATTGCAATGCCTGTATGCTAATCTGACATACGCATAAACGTTATAAAGATCAGAAGTGTACAAAGAAGAACAGTGCTGAACAGTGCTGATGTAACATCTGAAGGTGAGGGTGACAAAGCTCTTTGTTTTGTATTGGTTGCTTTCTGACTAGTTGACATAAACTTGGGGAGGATAGGAAAGAAGGGTAGTTGCAACTTCTTGTCAACTAGCCACATTTTCTTTGAATTGTTTACCTCATGCTTGGATACTAGGGCTACCAAAGGATGGGAAAAAATAACCAACCTGTTTCTGTGCCATAAACAATGGCTATATCTATTTTAAGTGAGCTTGACAATATTCTCTTAAATATAATAATCTAACCAATCCTTCTTTGTAATTTTGGGAACAAATGCAGAGGAATTATGTTTTTTCTTGAGTTAAAGTGTAATGTGACAGTTTAGACAGAAAAATGCCCTGCAACTCCCAACATGTCTCATCCAGCAAACAGTTGCTTCCTGCTGGGATTTCTATTGAAATTCTAGAATAGTAGAGTTGGAAGGGGTCAATAAGGGAATCCTGAAACTTATACTTAAAAGATTTGCCTTGGTTAATGTCTTCCTCCTTTGTATGTAAGAATTAACTGGAAGTCTTAACTAGATTACCTTTCTTGAGATTTCACTTGAGCTTCTTGCTTTAATTTGCCTCCTACAATTTTCATTTAAGAAATGACTTTGTTAAATTCCAAGTGTCCTTTATAGTGATGCACATAGATTTTGTTGTCTCTGTTTTGCTACATTCTTGGCATGTTTCCTAATGTCTTAAACAGTGAATAACATTTTAACAGGTAATGCAACAGAGGATGAAATTAAATCTTCATTTCTAGAAACACTGGAGGATGCCTGCATCAATCCCAAAGAAGTTTCATTCTGTGAATTTGAAGATTATTATGAAGGATTGAGTACTGGAATTATGGATGATGAAGATTTTGTTAATACATTAAGGAATCCATGGGGAATATAGAAGCAAATAATATAATGTCCTGATGTAAAGAACTGAGAAACAGAATTTAGAATTTGAAACTTTTAAAATGAAATTTTAATCAATTGGCATAAATAGTCTTAAGATACTGAAGTAAATATTTAAAATGCTGTTTGCTTACTTCATGTGTGCATGTGCATTTCTGTGTGTTCTTAATATGAGAGATATGTTTAATGAAGGACCGTGTCCCTACCCCTCAAACTTCTAGAAAGAGTAAATCCTAAATAATGACATAATATAGTTTCATAGTATGTTAATTCAATGAATTGTGGTGGTGAATAAAAGTAAATGTATAAGAGGCTATAATCCTAACCCTAAAGCTGCATGCTTTAAAAATGGCTATGTTTAGGAAATTGATATAAATTTGGATATAAACTTCATATAAACAAACCAAGGGTGCAGTCCTTGGGATGCCCATAAGGCCCTTGACTCAGAAATGTGTTGGCATCCAGTGCAGAGCAGCATGAGGGATAAAGGCAATTTTGCTGATATGGTCCTCCTGCTCTGCCTTTTTGGACATCTAGCAATGGTGCTTTGGAGGGGGAGATGAAGAGACTCAATGGCTTCAGGATCTTCTTCCCTCACCACCTTTTCTCTGCCTCCTTTGCCTCCTCTCTGAGGTCACTTTCTTGATCTCAAAGAGCAGTGCTACAAGCTGGAGGAATGAGTTCTGATTCCCAGTTTTGAAGTTGGAGCACTGCTTGGAACATGGGCATCCAAACTATCCTGGGACCCTCAGACAATGTCCAGGGGCCACAGGATAGTTCCCTTGATAATCTGCAAAGCTTACAGTGCCCATGTTCGGACAGGTTCATTTAAGGTATATGAGCCTATCTATCTACCCTACAAAATTATATCTGTACATCTTTAAGTGATTATTCTAGGTGCTTCTATGTTTTTGCTTAGTACAAACTAGTAATAGGATAGAAAGATGTTTGTAGGTGTTCTCTAGATTGTTTTGAAACTGCCAGTGCTGTATGACTACAGATTAATATGAAATGTAAGCCCCTGAATCCAGAAATTTGCAGGAGCTTATACAAAGCAGGAGGAGAGTAAGGACAATTTGAGAAGGACCTCACAATCATAGCTAGAGTGGGGAATCTGCACGCTAAGATTCATATGTATTTAAAGATAATTCACTTTTCCTATTTTTATTTATTAAATAATGTAACAACTGCTTGTTTTAATCATCTGGATACCATCAAGAATTTTTACAGCATATTAAATTTAAATACAGCATATTAAAAATTATAATTTTTTAAAAAACTGAGAAGTCTGTATTTTAAAAGAAAAATGCACATAGAATTTCTTTCTACCTCTAGAATTCATCCTATATCTTAATCTTCTTGAGTATGCAGTTGCCTTTATTTCATTGCTGTGATCCATCATTACATTGGTTAATTTTTAAAAGAATTCCTTAATTCATCTTGAAAAAGCAATTTGATCTTTCATTAACCCTACTCTACACATTTTCATGTTTATATTGAGTATTTTGCTTTTAAAACTATTAATATGGATTTGTATTAATTTTGAAGATGCCCTCTTTTATGGAGTAATACACTACAGACTTTTCATAACCAAACTTCATTTTAATTATGTACTATTAAACTGTGGATGTTTCCTATCTATGTATGTGTTTGCTTTTTAATTCTTTTGGGGCATAATGCTATAGCAATGATTATAACCCCCCAAACTTAATGCAGGGCCTTCTCCCTTATCCAGATCAAGGATAAGTGGAGTGTAAACCTGCTATTGAAGAGGACAGTGGATCTTCTGTCATTAGTTCCAGTCAGATAAAGAGGACAAACCAGCTGGGAAGAACCAGGTTCCAAACTATTACCCTGGGACAAAGTGTGGGTAATTTGCCCTTGGAAGAGAGGATGGGTATTCAATTCAGAATCAACTTCCTGCCAGTATTTCACACTCCCTTAATAGCTAGTATCCTACTTGTTTTTTTTCCTGTTATTACTGGCTTTGCAATGCACTTCAATTGTCTATCTTCATTTGCTTACATTAACTTAATAGGACTTTTAGGGAGGTAGGGGAGAATTATAATCTCTGGTAGGAGATTGTGAGTTATTAAAATAAAAGTTACAGTACTTTTCTTGGTTTTATAGGAGGGGTAGGTAAAAGGTAATGGTTTCCCAATGACATTAAGTCCAGTCGTGTCCAGCTCTGGAGGGCAGTGCTCATCTCTGTTTCTTAGCTGAGGGGGCCAGTGTTTCTCCTCAGACAGTTTCCGTGGTCATGTGGCCAGCATGATTAAACACCAAGGCACACAAATAGCTGTAGTACCCATTTATCTACTTGCATTTACATGCATTTGAACTTATAGGAGGGGTTCTTAAAACTAAATTGGGGTCTCTATTTAAATTTTTCCACCCAACTCCTTCTTTAAATTCACCCACCTTTCCATGTGAGGACTAAAACAAGGCAAAGCAGCTGTTGATGCTAATGTGTGCTTGGAGGAAAAGAAAGAGCACAAAATTGACTATACACTACATATTCAAAGTAGCATGTAATTCAGCCCTTCAGTGCAATTTTAAGTTGGCTTTTCTTGTGACTCTCATGTGTGAGGTCCTGGTATGGAGAAGGAGGAAGCCTATTGGAATGACCCAGAACTTCAGTTGTTGAGCAAATACTGACCTGAGAGTGACCTCCTAGTATTCTAAGGATAAGAGTATTTAAAGTGTCTGGTGATGTCAAGCCATTGTTCCATTTCATTGTTTTCAAAGTAATGTTTTGCCATTTTTTATTTAAATTACTTTTTGGATGTCAGTATGTTTATGAGGAGGTCAAAGCAAGGTTACGTCAACCAAAGTACTCAATTATACTTTGCTTTTCATGGGCTTAACAGAATTATTGTTACATAGCTTCAGAGTGACTGTAGAGGAATAAGCATATAATGTAGTTGAGTTTTAAATTGAAAATTAATGATTTTTGTAGCAGATCTCTCTGCTTTGAAAACTGGATTTCCACCAGTTTCAGGATCTGTCATTCCTGGACATATTCTTTTATATCTGTTGTGACCTAGATTGTCCTTGACTTCTAATAAAATTGTACGTGTGAATTTCTGTTCTTGATTGGGGAAAAGGTCCCCATTCTTCAATATATTTAAGATTTCAGAAAAGACAACCTTGCTTGAACATACATATTCTAATACCTAATGTAAATTTTGTTGGAAATTTCATCTAATTGCTAAGGTTTTGAGAGCATGGTAGAGAAGAAGCAGATGATAGAGGGAAATAAAAAAGCTGGTTGCTATGGGAAAGGGAGCTGTTCAGGATGTAAAAGTCATCTACCTGACTAATCCAGTTACCTTCCATCTTCTGAGCATTTTATCAGTGTGGAACACAAGCTTCCTGCAATCCAGTATGAGAAAACTTAGGAAATGTCTTACATCCATCGTACTGACGAAGTGAATGCCCAATAAAACAGCAATTGCACTGCCTTTGGTGGTGCCATGGAAATGAATGGATGTTTTATGGGGTTAGTTTAACATCAGGATACATAGGTTCAGAAAATAGCAAACTATGTGATTGTTCAAGGCTCTGGAACTAGCTCAGATGAGACAGAAAATGAAAGCTGCAAAGAGAAACCGTAAGTTTGCTGCCTTGGGTGGAGGTGTCCAAGTGTATGGTCCAGGGCTCAGGTCTAATACAGTGGTACCTTGGCTCACGAACTTAATCTGTTCGAGGACTCTGGTCGTGACCCAAATTGGTCATGAGTCAAGTTAAATTTCCTCATAAGGTTCAATGTAAATAAGAATCCGTTCTGTAACTATTTTTTAAATCAGAAAAATGTAAAGCAAAGTGACAAAGAAAAACAAAGATCACAGTCATTTCCCCCACTACCCTGAGCAGGAGAGCGGCCATCTCCCTGCCCCACCAGCACAACTGCGATTGCCCCCATCTTCCCTGCATGCGCCCGTCATCCTGGTGCGCTGCAGGGGTGGGGGGTGGGGAGGAGACTGGCGCAATCACAGGTGCACTGGGGGGAGAGAGGGGCGCGATAGTGCTGGGGGTGGGGAGATGGCCAAGACTGTGGTTAAGCTTCTGCAGCAAGATGGGCGCAATCACGGGGGCTGATGCAGGAAAGACAGGCGCAATCTCGGCCATATCCTCCCCGCCCTGGGCATGAATGTGGTCATCTCCCCACTTGGGGTGGACAGGAGAGATGGCCATGATCACCATCACCTCCCAATGCAGAGTTTACGACCTGAGTCAAAATTTTTATGGAATTTTTGATGGCGACCCAATTTGGTTATGAACGGAGGCGTTCATCAGCCGAGGTACCACTGTATAGGCCTACAGTTCTATTAAAAATAATATGAGTTTGAAAAAGCCTTCCTGGAGTAGCTTTTTCTGCACTTATCATCATTACTGCCCATTACATTCATGCCAGGATACCTCGTTTTTTGTAACCCTAATGCTACCCTGGTGCGCACCGCTAACCCTAATAGAGGGCGAAAGTTCCATTGAAAATAATGTGATCTTGCAAAAGCCTTCCTTGAGCAACTTTTTCTGCACTGCTCAACATTTCTGCCCATTCTAAACACACTCCAACCATCAAAAGCAGACCAGGACACCTCGTTTTTCTAACCCTAACCCTACCCTGGTGCACACCCCTATCCCTAGTATAGGGGTAAAGTTCAATTGAAAAGAGGGCAATTTTGAAAAAGCCTTCCTTGAGTAACTTTTTCTGCACCGCTCATCGTTTCTGCCCATTCTGAACACATTCCAACTGTCCAAATTATGCCAGGACACCTCATTTTTGTAACCCCAAACCGACCTTGGTGCACACCCCTAACCCTAATAAAGGGCGAAAATTCAATTGAAAAGAGGGCAATTTTGAAAAAGCCTTCCCTGAGTAGCTTTTTCTGCACGGCTCATCATTTCTGCCCATTCTAAACACATTCCAACTGTCAAAATCATGCCAGGACACCTCATTTTTGTAACCCTAACCCTACCCTGGTGCACACCCCTATCCCTAATATAGGGGTAAAGCTCAATTGAAAAGAGGGTGATTTTGAATAAGTCCTCCTTGAGTAGCTTTTTTGCACAGCTCATCATTTCTGCCCATTCTAAGCACATTCCAACCATCAAAATCATACCAGGACAGCTTGTTTTTGTAACCCTAACTCAGTGATGGTGAACCTTTTAGAGACCGAGTGCCCAAACTGCAAACCATAATCCACTTATTGATCATAAAGTGCCAACACTGCAATAAAACCTGAAAACTGAGGTTTTAGTTTAGAAAAAACAACTCACAGCCAGTCCAAGCAAATATGTATA